AATGATAATTGGGCTGCGTACTATTTTATAAAATGCTTAGGAACTTGTCCAATGTCTCTTGGACGGTGTAGAAAACAAATGGATAATAGGTTGGTCGTATCAATCAATGACTATATGGGTTCTGATTGTAGTGAAATGTATTTTGCTAAAAAATGTGGAACTAGTTTTGATAGAAAACAAGTGGTCATCACTTAACTAGTTTCCACAATAGTGATCACGGACCGAATCTTGAGTGTTATGGAATTCCTCTTTTAAGTGAGGACCACTTGTTTTCTACTCCATCCGTTTCACAATGTAAGTCATTCTAGCATTTCTCACATTCATATCTATTATATAAGTCCATGAAACTTTCTACAAACGCTCTCATACCGCCACATGGCATTCTAATAAAATAGAGAAAATCCTAGAAATTCTAGAAAAAAGCAAAACATCCAACCGTTAATTTTTATTTAAATTGGTGGACCCATTATTTTGCACTATTAGATTTATCTCAATAAGAAAACAACCAAAGCCACCTATTTCCAGCGTTAGATACTTAGATTAGATTGATCTGTACACCTCGCCTATTTCCGTACACACACCTCTCCTCTCTTTTGCTGCCCCTCCCCTCCTATTCTCTTTCCTATTTCTATGCAATCATTTTTTTATCAAGAAATCAACGGTTCGATGAGTTCAAAATAATTACTATAGTTTTTAATATATTTCGTAAGCAAACAATCAGCTCAAGAAAATCCTTCATCGATATATGGAGCAGTTCTACCGACTGCTGTATCAATATAAGCAATGCAAGCAACTTCCATCTCTTTGTTTGATCTCTCACCTTACAGCTGGCTTATCACTTTGATTCCACGTAGTAGTAGTGCAGCAAGGCTATCTTTGATTTCATATAAATTTCACAAAGCTTTTGGAATATAAATTAATTAATTTTAGGCATTTGAGTTATCAGGTGCTTCAAATGGTTGTCAAATATGCATGCGTGCTCCGTTCTAGGCCCATGAGTACTTCATGGAAAACTCTTGGCACTACTAGAAAAATGATTTTTTATGGCGTTTGAAAAATATTTTTTATGGCGGCTACGAGAAAAACCCGCCAGCGTAAAAAATCGGGGGGTGGGAGGTCACGGGCTGCCAGCGAAAATCAGTTCTCGCTAGCGGCCACATTAAGAGATCCGCCATAAAAAATATTATATTTTTCGAGGCGGACCTCTTACGAAAATCGGCGTTTTCGCTGGCGGCTGCTAAAAAGACCCGCCAGCGAAAAACACTGTCTCGCTAAAAAATTTTGATGGCATTTAAAACAATGCGCGCTAGATTCCTTCACCCACCACATTTAAAACCGATTTCATCCCACTTCCACTACCCACCCACCCACCACATTTCTTCCCACTGCCAGACCACCCACCCACCTCATCTCTTTGTCCTCCTCCCCGACCTCTCTCCCTTCCTTGCGCCCCCACTGGTGACGGCGACTGGTGACAAGGACCACGGCGACTGGTGACGATGACCACGGCGACCACAACGACGGGCCGGGCCACAGGTGGCGGGAGGGGGTGGAGGGGCCACGACCGGAGGGCCTCCTCCTCCTCCCCTCCCCCACCACTCTCCGCTCCTCCTTCCCTGCGCCCCCACTAGCGACAGCAACCACGGCAACGACGACGACGATGACGATGGGCCGGGCCACGACGACGACGACGATGACTACGGTGACCACGGCGACCGGTGACGACGACCATGGCAACCACGACGATGGGCCGGGCCATGTGCGGCGGATGTGCGGTGGCGGGAGGGGGTGGAGTGGGCCACGACCGGAGGGCCTCCTCCTCCTCCTCCCCTCCCCTCCCCTCCCTCTCCCTCTCCCAGATCTAGCCGGAGGAAGGGAGCGGCGGACGCAGCGGCGGCAATGGCAGGCGGGCGACGACGATTTTAATGTCCAGTTTGATGTTTATTTGTATTACTGTTTCATATATGCATGTATTGATGCTTGTTTGTGGAAAATGAAGTGAGAAATTGATGTAGTGTTCTTTTGAGGTTGGATCTGATGTGGATTTGAATTGTTATGGATTTGAGATTTGGGGATGTGGATTTGGGAATGCAGGTAGCAACATGTGGGCATATTTATTTTTGCTGGCGGCTGAAGGGAAGCTACATAGGTTTTTTTTTCTCAAAATAGATTATCTCTGGTGGCCGGTATAACACAACAACCAACAAAAATCGATTATCGCTGACGGCCGGTATAATACAACCGCTAGCGAAAATCGATTATCGCTAGCGGCCGATAACCGCTAGCGAAGATCAATATTTTCTCTCGCCTTTGCTCCGCCAAGGAAAACCTAAAATGGCCGCCACGAAAGATGATTTCCGTAGTAGTGTGGAGTCCTCTTTCGAGCAGATCTGATTTTATCTCAAACTTCCTTGTGAGTCACCAACAATTAAAATAATAAAATGTTGCGCCACCTATCATGGGTCTTTGGGCTTATAACTTAGTTTAGGTCCCCAGGCCAAATGGAGCCCAAGTAGGCTGCATCCTAACTTGCTGATGTACGACCTTAAGGGTTCCTTTGCTGTCCTCCCACCTCTTCACCTCCTTAAATAGCTAGGGACCTCTTCAGGTTCTTGGGTTTTCTTTAGATTAACGTTTAGTCATTGTTACTTTTCTGGGTAAAGCCATGATCAGTTAGATCATACCTTTCTTTTTATGGAACCCTAAGCCGTGATCCCAAGTAGCCTTCATGGCAAATTTTCTTATTTCTTTCACTTCCTAGCTAGAGATTAACATGTCAGCAAAGAACACATCATATCAATTTTGAACGAGTAATTTTATGGTTCTTTAGAATGTACCAGGTGGGTATAGCACATTTTCTAGCAACTACAAATTAGACTAGCTAGAAATTTGATTACTGATCATGAATATTCTATTTCTATAAATTAAGAATGGTTTTTTTTTCAAATGATAAATTAAGAATGGTTCTAGTCAGAAACTAATATTAGATAGTCTTTTGTTCCCAGTAACTCCTCGATAACCAAAAAAAAAATCAAACAAAATTACATAAATATGTACATGTGAATAATGTACATTGTATACCTTAATTACAATTCTGGTCCCACAACTTCATCATTTATCATACTACAATACCTGAGCAGTCTAGCTACAGCACAGCCACTACTCCCAATATATACATACCACCATGCATGTATTTTTCCTGAAATACTGGTACAGATTACAAGTTCATTTTTCATTTGCCCATTTTATGCTATAAAATGTGATAAGAATGAGAAGTCCCAGGAAATCGCAAAATCCTCGTGCCAACGAGCCAAACCGGGTGCTTGATGCCGCCAGCTGCATCCTACTACAGCTGCATTTCTAATTTTTAGCTGCGCGCCTGCGCCAGCTTACTAGCATCCAGCTTACTAGAATCTGTTTCTTTCTTTGGCTGTGTTTAGATTGGCCCAAAGTTTAAAATTTGGTTGAAATTAGAGACGATGTGACTGAAAAATTGTATATATACGAAAGGTTTGATGTGATGGAAAGTTGGAAGTTTAGGAAAAAACTTTAGAACTAAACACACCCTTTCATCCTTTTGCTTGGCTTAGGTCTAGTTTGCAGGAGTAGGCTGGCTCGTCCTTGCTCTGCGCTTGTGCTAGGATTGTAAAACCGGATGCGCCGGTGAACTTGCTCTGGCTGTCAAGCCGTGTATTCAGACATCTGTTATGCCTTCTATAAAGTTGGGCAGTGAGCCTTTTCTCTAAAAATTATGTTTGCCAAGATTTTAGTGAAAACGGAATGTGTATTAAGGTGTTGTTTGGATCCGGGACTAAATTTTAGTCCCTGTCACATCAGATGTTTGTACACTAATTAGAAGTATTAAACGTAGACTAATGATAAAACTCATTTCATAACCCTGGACTAATTCGTGAGACGAATCTATTGAGCCTAATTAATCAATGATTAGCCTATGTGATGCTATAGTAAACATGTGCTAATTATGGATTAATTAGGCTTAAAAAATTTATCTCATGAATTAGCTTTTATTTATGCAATTAGTTTTATTATTAGGCTACGTTTAATACTTTCAATTAGTGTTCAAACATCCGATATGGCAGTGGCTTAAAATTTAGTACTGTATCCAAACGCCACCTAAACCAAGCATGCAGATCATGTAATCTTGGGCTGGATGGATGTTAACTAAAATACATTGGTTTCTACATCAAAAAGCCATACTGGTTTGGAACACTGTTCTTAAATCAGAGGTCATAAAGGTTCATTATATGCTTTAAAAAGACACTTTAAGAGAGAAACTGCCGGTTCGAAAAAAGTACAAAATGCCATAAACAGATGTGTTTATGTGGGAAATCTTCAAAGATCAAAACATGGAAAAACTAAGAAATGATTTAATCAGAAAAACTAAACTAAAATATTTTGGCATATAATATATACTTAAAAAGGAAAAAAAATTAATGTTTTACACTACTAAACTTTCATCGGAGTCCAGGAAAACGGTCTTTGAACATTGAAATCATGCACGTGTAGGAGTTACTCCCTCCATATTGAAATGTATGACGATGTTGATTTCTCAACATAGCATTCAACCATTCGTGAATGTGAGGTAATTATATATTGGGGTGTTTAGATTCAGGGGTGTATAGTTTTAAAGTGTCACATCAGATATTATATAGGGTATCACATGGGGTGTTCGGCACTAATAAAAAAACTAATTAAATAATCCGTCAGTAAACCGCGAGACAAATTTATTAAACCTAATTAATCCGTCATTAGCAAATATTTACTGTAGCACCATATTGTCAAATCATGGAGAAATTATACTTAAAGATTCGTCTCGCAAATTAGTCGCAATCTGTGCAATTAGTTATTTTTTAGCCTATATTTAATATTTTATGCAGATGTTCAAACGTTCGATGTTGGCATAAAGTTTTGGGATGGAATCTAAACAGGGCCTGTGCCAGTATTCACTGCAATGTATTACCACAAACGCTGTGAAGAAGTACAAACATATGAAGAAGTACATCCAATCAATTTATTCAAGCTTTACAAATGTGGCTGGTTCGGGCTGTCTTCCAGCAGTTTGATATCACACCTACCGAACAACTGGATAAATTTCACATCTATTAACAACATGTCCTCCATTCGCAATTTTTGTAGAAATACTTTTATCATGTTCTTCACACACTTCAGTGCCCTAACTTGATTCAGTTCGTTTCCAAAAAATAGGCTTTACACACCACTTGCAACAGTTTCTACTAATGGATTAGGTTGAGACTGAAATCCCACAATCTTTTGGCGAGGCCCATGTCGAGCGCATGAGATTTTAATTCAGTGACATTGCAGTCAACAAAGTATTTGCCAGTGACTCCAGCAACCTGAGGATGCAATGCCACATAGCACACTGTGGCTGCACCCTGCAAAAACAAACAATGCTAAGCAGTGATTATGTGTTTGGATAGTTTGCACAATTGTTTGTTGGTAATTGGATGGTTTGCACAATTAAACATGTTATGAATTACTGAATTAGTAAAATTTCAAGGAGACTTTGTCCTGGTGCCAGTTAGTTCATGGATTTAATAACATTAACTCTACAAAAAATAGTCCCTGGTAGAGTCATGGTAATATTGCAGCTCCTGTTTTTTCAGGTTGCAGGAAGATGTTGAATGATATAAGCAATAAATACATTTTTTCCATATTTATATATTTATTAGGTTAATTATTCCATGATACATCCAATTATTTAGGAGCAGTCAAAAAGTTTTAGAATGTACACTTACCACTAGTACTAGGATTAAAGTTTTAGAATTATTTTGTGTGTTTCTGTTGAATAAAATGTTTCAGAAAACATATGTAATGAAATAGACATAAATTGCATACACAATAAAATACAAATTGAATATACAATAAAATAGTGAATATAACTGTCACAAGAACATATGTAATGAAATTGACATAAATTGCATACGCAATAAAATACTTAAATTGAATATACAGTAAAAATAGTAAATACAACTCTGTCACTTTAGTCTTGTGAAAGGAACAGAAAAAAAATGATCCAAAACTTACTTGTTCAACACCTTTAACGAAAAATTTACCAAGTGTAGATAGCATACCTGAAATTAAAAAACAAGGAAGAACAATCACTGTGCATTGTTTCCAGTTCATTATTCATTCAAATAATAAAGCACAAATGTGGGGCTTTTACAATTTGCACTGGACAACCATAGTGATCTTCGATGAATGAAATATTTCTTTAATAAGGTAATGCTCTCAAGAATTTTTTGTATATGGAATGATCATGCACTTTAATGAACAAAAAAGTTCTGGAAAAACTCTTTATACAACTGGAAGAGAAGTAAATCAGATTAATAGGCTAGAAAGAAGATGTATCCATGCAATTAAGATAATAGTGATGGCAACTGAAGCCTAAACTTATGTGACTACATAGAAGAAATGGATGTCTCATAGCTGTACTATAGATGAATATGAGCACAACGAAGCAAAAACTCAACTAGCCAGAAAGATAAAAGCAAATACTGTCTGAGATTCGATGAACCATCCATGAAGATTGATTTAGCTTTATTTTGCCAAGAACTATATGCATTTGTCAGATATGCCCATACCATTTACGAAATACCAGTGACGCATAATGTTGGTGACAACAGCTCCAGGATGCAGAGAGTTGACTGTTACTTTTGCATCTTGCTCCTTTTAGCAGACAAACATTCATCATCAAGAAAATATGTGAAACTTTTTGAAATAGTAATGCGATCATTGATATCATCTATTCACAGAACAGCTCCATAACAAAAATAACAGGGCTTTGACATCCATCCTCTGCATAGCTTTGCTATTATGAGATCTATTTTGTGATAACTTCATATTACTGTCTCAGCCAAAGATCTACATGATTTAGTTAACAGCATGTCTAACATATTACAGTTAGTAATTTCAAGAAAAATAGCCTACTACAATTTCTTTTCCATTTTACAAGATTACAAAATTGTGTAATTTTGAGGACAAACAGTGTGTACAATTAAATAAACAAGAGTTAGTGTGAACCACCAGTTGTTCCAAATACGAGCTTAAAGGAAAACAAGAAGAAAAGTGGAACCTTCAGATTGCTAGATAGTAAATTGGAATGCAGTATGTTGGCAAGCTTGGATTGGCCGTAAGCGAAGATTTTGTTATACCTAGCGGGAGAGAATAAAAATAATTAATTTCGAATATGATGTTTTTGTGCAGATCTGTTTTCTTACCTTTGATCGATTGAAAAGGTAAACAAATGTAAAAAGGAGTATACGTTGGGTCAGAAAGTAATACCCAGATTCATCATTGATCTTATCAAAACGAATCCCCTCTCGATAAGGGTGCTTGTAGCTGTTAGAAGCAACTATCACAACCCTTCCTTCTATCCCACTTTCTATAGCTGTAACTTTCATCTTCTCAAGTAAAAGATCGGTCAGTAGAAAATGCCCTGCATTGCATGATTAATTGCACGATGCAGTTACACAATAATAACAGAAATTTTGCACGTTTGTAACCAAACATGGTTACAAGATCAGTCAAGTGAAATATGACCACACACAAATGTGTAAAGTACATCTGTCTTAGTAACAAATAGAAAATAAAACAATAATATTCTATGAATTTTGGCAAAACCTACTTAAAATAAAAAAGTTTTAGTATGCAGTTTAAGGGACTGTAAGAGGGGGCCTACCAAGGTGATTTGTTGAAAAATGCAGCTCAATGCCCTCCTCTGATAGCTTAAATGGTACAAACGCAATCCCTGCATTATTACTTTAAACAGAGAAGACTAAAACTATTTTCTCAAACATAAAATGGATGACGTATTCCTCGCCAAAAAAAGGCAATGTAAAAAAAGAACACTTCAACATAGATGGAATAAAAGTTTTTTAGTAGAGGTCTGATGGACTGTTTTATCTTCCAGAAAATGACTGTACTAATGACATAACCCAGTAATACATAAATACTGTCTATTAAGCATGCTTTGAGTGTCTGAATCCCAATAGCCAGCTCAAATGCTCATTCCAGTTTATTTAGCACCCAAATTCTCTATGTTGCAGAAGGTTTTGCTGCTACAATAATTCTGTAAAACAGCATAATGTTTTTTTTTTCTTTTTGCGAGGAAGCATAATGTTTTGTTCTACCAAATATTTCCAATATACATAAACATTAGATCTGCTTACACCAGGATGTTCAGAGGAAGATTCAGAGCATTGAAATTCTCCGCAAATCTCCTCACAGAAGACATCAAGCTGAGGTCAAGATCCAGCATCTCAATCTTTGCAGCCGGAAGCTGTCTCACTATCTCATCCCTCACACGCGCACCGGCAGATGAGTTCCTTACCCCCATCACAACATGCAGTCCCCGCATCGCGAGAACTCGGCATGTTTCAGCACCAATCCCACTGGAGGCACCTGCAAGAAACATCTCCAATCAGCAACTATTCCACCAGCATTTCAGGCCTTCAGTACAAAATTCGATTAACGAAGCAGGAATTGGAGCAATATGCAAGATTTACTCCTACTGCTTGCATCAGCCTGAAGAGTAAATATTGGGGAAAAATTGATTAATGGTTGGTAAAACTATAAATACATTTAGCATATAAATCATCTTTCATAATTTCCCCCCAGATTTATCTACTGCAATATGCAAGATTTTTATACACCGAACAGTAAACTTTGCCAATTTCCCCTCAAATCGAAGAGAATCACTAAATTCCTCGAGCAATTTCAGTTCAGACCAACGATTCTTGGATTCGAGCAGGGAATGTTCAGAAGAAACAGGAGTCAACCGAGAACCAGGGGACGCTATGAAGTATGAACCGAACCAAGAAACGACCAGCTGCTGGAGGAGAGATGAGAGTACAGTTCACTTGCCGGTTACGACGGCGACGAGGCCGGAACCGTCGACGGCGGCGGTGACCTCCTCCGCGGTGGACGACGGCGAGAACCCGGAGGGGCTTCGCCGCCTCAGTAGGCCCCACATTGTCTTGTGCTGCCGTGGGAAGTGGGAACAGCTTCCGGCCGGTGGCTTAAATTAAGACACTCAACTTGCTTAAATAGAACGTTTCAGCTTCCAATCAAACGTATAATACTCCTGTTTTGTAAGACGTTTCAATTTTAAATGGTTCAACTCCATAGAAGTTGACGAATGGCTATTGGTCAATTTGTAAACTCATTTGCTCCCTCCGTTTCATATAATAAGTCACTTTGATTTTTTTAAAAAAGTTAGAAGTTTAACCAAATTTACGGAAAAAATAACAAAACTTATAATGTAAGTTAGTTTTATTAAATTTATCATTAAATATATGTTGATAGGTTGTGTTGAAAATATTGCTAAACTTTTCTATAAATTTAGTCAAACCTACAATAGTTCGACGTAAAATAAAATCAAAACGACTTATAAGAGATGGTAGCATATCAAGACGGTCCAATAGGGTTCCATTATGTAGCAAATTTTATAGCAATCCAACTTTTGCTACTAAACACACATACTGCCCCTTCTGTGCATTAACCCTTTTATTAGTATGGTAAATTTTGCCAAAAATATTGTGACTTCGTGATTTTAACCTTAGGACATCATACGATGAGTTTTAGAGAAGACACTCTATAAATACGATAATTTACTCGTGTACACCACGCTGATTATTTTAGTGTATTCTTAGATACCATCTATTTTAATCGGTGAGGTCATTAATCCATTTCTTTTCTCTTCCTCCTCCTTCCCGAAGAAACAATCAGCCTCTCAAGCTAGTTCTCCCCTCCAATTTCACCGAGCCACCGCTAAAGTCATTTGCCCATCCGCCATCGTCAGCCCGCTCCAGAAGCACCATCTTGCCACCAAGGCCAGCATTGGAGACTGCAAACCCTCTTTCTCTCTCCTCAAACGCAAACGTGTTCTAATCGTTATCATTCTCCTTGTTGTTGCCATCCTCCGTAACCTGTAGATGAGTCACGTTGTGGGATATGTAGTCCTGCCGCCATCCTCGTTGTCGTTTCACGGTCAACACGTTGAGGCCCGCGCTCACTGTGCTCGTGTTGTATCAAGCTGAGGAAGAACATTGCCGGATATGCCAAGGGCAATTCTGCCTCATCATGTACAATTGTGGGCCCTCTCACGCGTTGTCAGATCGAATACATTAAAAAAAATGGCATGATATCCATGGGCTAATTACCACGTTTATAGATTGTCATGATTTCCTGTAGCAAATATTACCTATTAGTATGTGCTCCCTTCGTCCCATAAAAACCTAATGTTGAGAATGAGTTTAAACCTAATTTTTTCCTGGAAACCAAAGTTGGTCAGGAACTTATTTTCCTGTATCTGTTCTCTTCCAGCAATTATTTCAGCTTTACATTTATCATTTCTGTACAGCCAGTGCTCCATTCACAATTTATCTTTGGAGATACTTTATTTTTTCTAACTAGTTTTGGTTTATTTCCCATAGTAGACTTTACATAGCTATTGCGACAACAATTTCTATCAACGGATTTGGCTGAGACTGAAATCCCACAATCTTTTGGCGAGGTCCATGTCGAGCGCATGAGATTTCAGTTCAGTGATATTGCAGTCAGAAAAGTATTTGCCAGTGACTCCAGCAACCTGAGGATGCAATGCCACATAGCACACTGTGGCTGCACCCTGCAAAAACAAACAAGGATAAGCATTGAATGTATGAGTATGAGTGGTTTTGAGCAATTAACAGAAAAAGGTTATGAATTAGTAAATTTTTCAAGGAGATTTTGCCACTTCATAAGTTTAATATAACACCAACTCTACAAAAAGTGGTGTCTGAGTCTCCTCAATTCTCTAAGTCCTGTCTACTCTCCCTTCTCCCTCATCCCACTCCTATCCTCCGAGTGGCAGCGACGAGAGGCGAAGGCAGGGGCGGATCCAGAAAATAGAGTCATTGGGATCATTACTGAAATATGGTGGTGTCAATATATATATATAAGAGAGTAATTCTTGTTTCTAGAGTGCATTAGCAAAGAGATTAGTAAGAAGTCATTGGTGTCCGCTGACACCAATGCTTACACTATGGATCCACCACTGGGCGAAGGCACAGCTGGTTTCTAGCAGCGGCGATGGTTGCTTCGGGCTGCGGATCGATGATGACAATGGTTGCTTCGGGTGGTGGAGGTGTGTCAAGCTTCAAGTGATCGTGACGACGGAATCAATGGCGGTGGCCGCGTACAGGAGCGGCGGATCCGGCATCAAGGATCTTGGCTACGGCGGATCAGGCGCTAGCGAGCTCGGCGATGGTGGGTGTGGTGGTAGGTGATGAGGACATCACTAGCTTAGATATGGTCATGGCTACCTTAAATATTTATCAAGCAAAGGTACATGCTTTCTATGTAAGATTTACATGTCATATATTTGAACAAACACTATTATACTATGAGTCTTGCATGTGCTCGTTTGTAGAGGAACTTGCTTGGGTGAAGGAAAGGGGAGCGGACATACGGAGTGATTGAATGATCTATGAAGTTAATTGGGGACTAACCAATATCCTTCCCAAAGTTTATCCCCATGTTACCACGTCACTTTTAGTTCATAGAAGGGAATAGATGAAATTCTACATGTTTTAGATTCAGATTCGGGCCTCCTGACAGCATCAACTTCAAACGGATCCAAGCCAAGGGGGTATGCGCCCTAGAGATTCCGTTTGAAGTTGATGCTGTCAAGAGGCCCGACTTAGGTTAGAGACGTCCTAGGGATAGTCCTAGGGCGCACACCCCTTATGACGTCTCTAATCATATTTACAGAGATTCCTTCTATAAGTTGTGGGCTAAGCCCAAGGGGGTGTGTGCCCTAAGACTAACCCTAGGACATCTTCAGTCATATTTGTTCAATAGTTGTCATAGTTTAGAGTTGGATTTTGCTTAAATTATTTCTGCCATTGAAGTTTCGCCGCTAGTTTGGTTTGTGAAACCCCAACTTTAAAATCTTAATCATTCATCTACATATTAAGTTGCAATCTACCTTGTTCTTGCTTATGTTCTTCGATTCGTATGCAGGGATTAGCCTTCTCGGCGAGGTCAATCGGGTTTTCGACAGGATTGATAACAAGAGGAAGTGTGGTGCTGCGATTGCAGGGTTCGGATCATGTTAATTGGTTTGTCGTTTGTAAAATCATTTATGTAGTGCAATAAAAATGTTGGCAAAAAAATATGTGTTACCTATCAAGTAAACACATGGACTTAGATTGCATATAAAATACATATAATGCATATAACATAAAACAGAACTCTGTTACTTTTATCTTGTGAAAGGAACAAAGAATGTTCTAAAACTTACTTGTTCAACACCTTTAACAAAATATTTACCAATAGCACGGATAGCACCTGAAATAATAAAAAAGAAGGAAGAGGAAGAATATAACTTTCTATCTGCAGTAGAAAAAAAATGCATTTCATTCTCTCAAACTATTTCATTGGAGCAGTTAACCCTGAACTAGTAGAAACAGTGCACCATACGGTATTTCTCTTTTTTCTCTCTATGTAAATCGTATTTTGCGCCAAAAAAATGGTAGTGTTGATAGATGAAGTATAACCTACCTCTCCATTTTTTTCTGAAATTTTTAATCACTGCTGTTTACAGAGATTGGAAGCAGTAAGTTGACTTAAACATCGAAGTCTTAAATTTTAAGCAAATTGTCATATTTTTTAAAAACTTTGTTAATGGTGTCATGTATGGCTTAAAAAATTTTAACTTACAATAAGACTTGCGTAAAGAAAAACAAATAAGGGAGATGCTATTGAGGATTAAAGTGAACCAAATTAGCCAAAAAATAGTTCAGGGGTTAGCAATCTAATGGAAGAGTTTGGGAGTAGTAAAATTCCAGCCCTTGAAACCAATATGTAGAAGGAAAATGTCATGAAGCTATAAGACCTAGATTAGTTGCTAGTTAGGCACGATACATCAAACTAAACATTCTACGAGGTGAGATTCGACCAATCATTCATGAGTATTGAACTTGCTTTATTTTTCCAGTAATAACTTGCACTCGTGAGATATATTCTTACCATATAGGGGACACCAGTGGTGCAAAATGTTGGTGGCGACAGCTCCAGGATGAAGAGAGTTCACTATTACTTTTGCATCTTGTTCCTTTCAGCAGAGAAATATTTATCATCAAGGAAATCTGTGAAGCTTTTAGAAATAGTAATGCGATCACTGATATCATGTACTTAGAACAGCTCCATAAACACAAATAACAGGGCAATTGACTTCCATCCTCTGTTGGTGTTTTACCACTAGGAGGTTTATTTTTATGATAACTTCGTATTATTAATTCAGCTAAAGAGCCGCATGATTTTGTTAACAACAGAATAGTTTAACATAGTACTACCATTTTTTTATAAGATTACAGAACAGGCAAACGATGTGTGGAACAAAAAAAAATTAACTAGAGTTAGTGTGAATCAACAGGTGTTCCCAAAGTAAAGGAAAATAAAGAGAAAAGTGAGAACCTTCAAGTGGCTAGATAATAAATTAGAATGCAATATGTTGGCAAGCTTGGACTGGCCGTAAGCAAGGAATCTGTTATACCTAGCAAGAGAGAATAAAAATATATAGTTGAATGTGATGTTCTTGTACAAATTTGTTTTCTCATGTTTTATCTAGAAGGTAAATAACATGTAAAAAAGAGGCAAAATGTGTTGTGTCGCAAAGTAATACCCAGATTCATCATTGATCTTATCAAAACAAATCCCCCCTGGATAAGAGAGACTGTAGCTGACAGAAGCAACTATCACAACCCTTCCTTCTTTGCCACTTTCTATAGCTGTAACTTTCATCTTCTCGATTAAAAGATCAGTCAGTAGAAAATGCCCTGCATGGCATTATTAACTCAAGAATGCAATCATACAACAAAAGCAGATGTTTTCCACATAAGTAACCAAAAATGGGTGTAAGATGAGTAGTCCAGCCAAATAGGCAAATATGATGAGGTACAAGTGAAATTATGTAAAGTATGTACTGTTTTGGTAAACATGCAAGTCCATGGATTGAAATAAACTGAAACTCTAATATTCTACAGTATAAATTTAGTTTCATGTTTTAGCAAAACCTTCTTGCGATCAAAAGTTTCAGTTTGGAGTTTAAGGACTGTAAAAGTGGATCATACCGATGTGATTCGTTGCAAAATGCAGCTCAATGTCATCCTCTGAAAGCTTGAAGGGCACAAAACAAACCCCTGCATTATTTCTTTAAACAGAGCAGAATAAAATTGTTTAGTCAAAGATAGGGCAATATGTAAAAAGATAAAGATAAAACATATTCAGTAGAGATGGAATAGAGTTTTTTAGTGGAGGTTTCAAAGTCACTTTTACCTTCCAGTTATACTGTCCTAATGCTCAACCTAGCTAAACATCAATATTGACAATTAATCTTGCTTACAGAGTATTTTAATATTATTCAATATCTCAAACTCTCAATAGCCAGATCGATTGCTCAATCCAGTTTGTTCGGCACCAAAATCCCTACATTGCAGATTATGTTGTTGCAATTATAGTTCTGTAAAATGCGCAATGTTTCTTTCTACCAAAACATGCCAATGTAGCCAATTTAGTACTATTCCCTCCGTTTCATAATATAAAACTTTCTAGCATTATCCACATTCATATAGTTGTTAATGAATTTAGGCACATATATATGTTTAGATTCATTAACATCTATATGAATGTGGGCAATGGTAGAATGACTTATATTATGAAACGGAGGAAGTACATCCAAACATAGATTTGCTTACATCAAAATGTTCAAAGGAAGGTTCAAAGCTTTGAAAATCTCTGCAAATCTCCTCACGGATGACATCGAGCTAAGGTCAAGATTAAGAATCTCCATCTTTGCAGACGGAACTTGTTTCAATATCTCATCCCTCACGCGTGCACCGGCAGATAAATTCCTAACCCCCATAACAACATACACACCCCGCATCACCAGGACTCGGCATGTTTCAGCCCCAATCCCACTGGAGGCACCTGCAAGAAACATATCCATCAGCAATGATGCCAACAGTAATTCAGGTCTGCAATACAATTTGATTAGGATTTTTTTTATGGCGCATTAAATTACTGTGCATCATCCATCACCCATTGACCAAAGGGATTAATGTTGCATTTACATCATGGATGGTAAAATATCATATATTTTTTTACTATTTAAATTCTACCAAAGGCAATTATTGTAGTCCAAATTTTCCTTAACTAATTTGACATTCAGGTTTCTAATACTATAAAAATACAAAAATCATGTTCCAAATTGAATAAAAATTTCCATAGCGGAAAAATTGAACATGGAAGGTTCGGTTTATAACAAAAGTTAAAATAAATTACTTTTAATTGTATATAGTTCCGGAATAGTTGTTTGATTTTTATCAAAATTCAGATGATTATGCAAAGCGATACTCTTAAATCTTCATAATCAATCTCTAGAAAAATTTCAGTGCCCAAATTATATTTTGAACAACAAAGCTTTGGTTTATAACGAAACTTTGATTTAAATATTTTTTTTGCTTTTTTTTCAAATTAGGATGATTATGTAAAGACATATATAGCTTTAAATCTTCAAAATAGATACTTTTAGAAGTTCAAAACGAATTGTGAAAATCTTGAATGAGAATTTTCAAATCCGCATAATTCAAATTCGACACTAGAATATTAATGCTAAGATTGACTAGAAAAAAAATCCATTTGAATGGATATCAAAATTCTAGTATTTATAATCTGAATCATATTTTAATTTTATGTCTCCTATTTGGAATCAACGATTTTTAAGTCATTCATTTATCTCTTTTGTAAAGTATAATATTTGTTTTGCACATTCATTCTGTGCATTAGAATTCCTTGCAACCACTATTAAAATTCTCTGATGGTTAAATTTTGGAAAATATTCTATGGGTACTAACGTTTTCCTTTTGTTATGTATTTTATTAAATTAGGATGTGAAAATATATTTGTTAATAGATAAAGGAAATAAAAAGTAACGGCTAAGATTTCTTTATACTGTATCAGTCCCAAAATCAGCATGCATGAAGAGCAAATAAAACCAAGTGTCTCTGATTAATAGAAAATAAATATTGGTGAAACAGAAGATAATATATTTTCTAAAAAAACACGGTATAAACGAAGGCGCTTACAACACATACATTTACCCTTGAAAACTCACACACTATCTTTATGAGCATCTCTGGGAGACTTGGTCATCATATCTTGAGATTGACGAAGTCACCACGGGAATCCCGTTATCGATGGATACGTCGCTTACCACTGAAGAACAGATAGCCGTAAATCTGAGCATGCATATCAAGTTTAGGACATGAACCCGAGTGGGCTAGTTCCACCACAAGTAACCTAATTAAGGTACGATCACCTCGCAATAGGTAACAAATATCGAATGAATGGAATTTCTTTAATTTATAGAGCAAGAGCAGGTAAGATAATAGAAGTAGCAATTATCACAAGCTAGAAATAAATTTATTTTGGAACGGAGGAAGTGGCTCGATTGATTAGTTAAGGACGACCTGGAGCAATACACAATATATTCACTAATAGATGAATTAGTTAGCATGCTCCAATAGATTGATTAGTTAAGGACCACTTTGCATGCTCTAATAGATGAATCACTTGGAGAAATACACTAATAGATTGATTAGTTAAGGACCACTTTGCAAGCTGATGAATTACTTAGCTACCAAACCAAAAAAACAGAAATTCTACGAGCAAAGCCATGTTTCAGAGGAGTCAATCAACCAAGAATCAGGGGATGAGAGTACAGTTGAGGCTTACCGGTGATGAGGGCGACGAGGCCCGAGCCGTCGATGCCGGCGGTGACCTCCTCGGCGGTGGACGACGACGAGAACCCGGAGGAGCTGCTCCGCCTCAGCAGGCCCCACATGGCGTGCGGTCTTTGAGTTTTTCGCCGGCGTTTAATAGTTTTGGTGCCGGAAGTCATGAAGAAGAGGCCTTTCAGCTACCAATCTCAACACACCGCTCCTGCTCATCTACGATTTTTATAAGCCACATATTTTAATTTCTAATTATATACTCCCTCTGTCCCAAAAAGAATCAACATTGTTCTAGCTTGATTCTTTTTGAGAAATGTTGATTCTTTTTGGGACGGAGAAAGTAGGTGTAAGGTTAGTAGTAATATAAATGCATTTATTATACCAAAATACACTGGTGACTTGGACTGCGGTGTCACTTAGGTTCATCAACTTATAAATCGCAAGTCAAGGTCCACGATCTTGTTCAATGTACCAACTGTGGTCCAAACTACCTTTAATCAAAGGTACTGCCGTGGTTGTCAACGGAGAAAAACATTTTGCATTCAGTCCACACCATAAATAACCGTGGCAACAAATTTGTATTTAGCCCCTTTTGTATGCCTAAATCGATTCCACCAATTCGGTTCCCCGCCTCCCTGAAGTAGGGAGTAATGATTAGAGCAGTGGTGATTATTGATAGTCGAAGGTTCTCGGATCAAAAAAGAGTAGGAGAGGGTGATCTCATGAGTCCAGTACGGACCTCATCTTCGTGAAGAAGATACCACACCACAACAGTTGTGCCACCTTCCTCTCTCTAGTACACCCTACTCTCGTCGCACTTTGTGCCACCCTAGCCATTGCCGCTTTCCCCTTCCTAATTCAAAAGAGGAGAAGAGAGAGGAAAACTTTGGGTTGAGGATGAACTTGAAGCGAATGGATTAAATGCATATTTGTTTCTACAGTAGGTTTTGAACAGGGGTAAATAGAAAAGGCTTGACCTATTAAAGGTGATTTCAACCTCGAGTCGTATATTAAACTAAAATTACAGATCTAGATATATGATTTACAAGTTGATCGATTACATTAGTGACACAGCGGTCTTAAATTGGCCATGTCTTTTACTCTAAGTTTTAATGAACTTAGCGTTTGCTAAGAAAACAAGTAAAAGAATCTATAATATTCTTCAAAAATCAATTTTTCAAATTTATAATCATCTTTTGTTTCGAAGTGGAAGCTTTACTATATAGGCACCAAATAAAAGGAACACATGATCTCTACTAAGATGGAGATTGGTCCCTCCACCCACCGCTCACATCACTCCATCGTAAAACCGTATAACTTTTATTTAAGCATCGATAATCATTTAAGCACAATGTCAGCGCCAGTCCCGTTGGCGCTGACACGGCCAACCTCAGCGCCAATGCGCTTGGTGCTGAGCTGACGGCCTAATTTTGGTTGAAGTTTTTGGCAGGGGTTAGTTTCGAAATAAGTTTTTGAAAAGGGTCAATTTGTCCTTGTATAGCTAGCATTTATAATATATGTAAGGACATATTATGCGTGATAGGAAAATACTTTCATGAACTCAGCGCGTATCAATTCCTGATTGGACAAGATTAGGAGCTTAAGCATGTAGTTGGAAGATAAATTAATTAATGATGGTTCGTTGGAACTTGGAAGGTGGAGTAGTCAAGAAAAATGTTTACATTTGTGTAGGAATTTTAAACCGTTTTTTTGACAAATTGACCCTTTTGGAAAACTTATTTCGAAACTAACCACTGCCAAAAACTTCAACCAAAAATAGGCCGTCGCCTCAGCGCCAAACACATTGGCGCTGACGTTGGCTGTGTCAGCGCCAACGGGACTGGCGCTGACATTGTGCCACCGTGGCGGCCGGGCCGATCCCCAGCTGACGTGGCAGCTACCTCAGCGCCAACCGGACTGGCGCTGAGGTGGGACTTGGCCGCAACCCCCAAGGCCCAGACCAGCAAGCCTGCTGGTTCGCTTGCGGGCTGGGACCTCAGCGCCAGCCATAATGGCGCTGACCGTGGGACACTCAGCGCCAACCGGACTGGCGCTGAGGTGGGACTTGGCCGCAACCCCCAAGGCCCAGACCAGCAAGCCTTCTGGATGGCTTGCGGGCTGGGACCTCAGCGCCAGCCATAATGGCGCTGACCGTGGGACACTCAGCGCCAGCCCACCTGGCGCTGAGGTGGGACTTGGCCGCAACCCCCAAGGCCCAGACCAGCAAGCCTGCTGGTTCGCTTGCGGGCTGGGACCTCAGCGCCAGCCATAATGGCGCTGACCGTGGGACACTCAGCGCCAGCCCACCTGGCGCTGAGGTGGGACTTGGCCGTTTCGGCCATGGCCCAGCCCAGCAAGCCTTCTGGATGGCTGGGCTGGGACCTCAGCGCCAGGTGCACTGGCGCTGAGTTTGGACATGTCAGCGCCATTTAGCATGGCGTTGACGTCCCAGCCCTGCTAAACTTTAGCAAAACTTTGCACACAACACAGGCAAACATCAAATCACAGAAATTTACAGGCAGTAATATATCCAGAGAACCATACAAAACATACATCCATCCATCAATCCCAACATCATTCCATACATCCATAGAATCCATCAATACATCCATATATGAAGTCCATACATATAAGAAATAAAAACATCCCATCGATCCTCGTCTATACATCCAGTCGAGTCCATACATCCAGTCCATACATCCATCGAACCATGCATCAAGTCCATCCATCTATCCATCCATCCATTGAACCATGCACTTACCTCCTCCTACCTCTAGTGCGAGGACGAGGCACGTCGAGGGTGTACCTCCAGTCCTGCGAAGGAGCCCGCCGGCGTCGTGGTCGAGACGGGCCGGGCTGCGAGATATCCGGCTGTGACGACTCTGGTGCGTCCTCTAGCTGCGAGGGACCGAGCTCATCCGCCTCCTCTTCTCTGTCCTCATCCCCTTCTTCCTCCTCATCTCCTTCCTCCGCCTCTTTGTCTTGCTCGCCCTCCTCGTCACCCACCTCCCCTTCTTCATCCCCCTCTTGGTGGGCATGAGCATGTTCGACCATATCAGTCGACCTGCAGCCGAGCCTTGCTGCCAACTTCCGACATCGCTGCCGTAGTCTCTGCATAAAAAATAATCCATGTTAAGTTATCGCTTTTGGAAGAAAACACCGTAGTTTCATCTCTTTCCAACGATTACCTGTAGGGCGTTGCGGAGGGTGCCGCCCTCTCCTTCGGAGCCAGGAGCCGTGCCTAGCGCCACTCCCGCGTCGTTGACGGTCCGCAAGAGCTCTCGAGCCTGTAGGATTGAAATGAAGTAAGTCACAACATATATGGCATTGAAATGAAATAATATACAACATTAATGCTAGAAACTAACCACTCTGTCGCGAACAGGTCCCGTCTCGACCGTGGTACCTAGACGGGTACGAGTATCGTACTCGTTCTGCTCCTCAACATCCTCGGGGTCATCCGCTATGTCGGCTAGTGTCCAAGCCGGACGTAGGACAAGACGGTAGGTCCTGTGGAGCCACGCCAAGTACAAGTCGAACTCCGTCCCGTTGTGCTGACCCTGGTCTGGTACTCCATTCTCCTCGAACTTCTCCCATTGCGTGATATGATCCTGATGGTAGTAAGCCCAATCAGTCACCTTCTTATTCTTCCGAAGGTCCACCCTGCACGTATGCAAAATGTCCAACTCAAATATGTAGTAAATGTTGAAGTGACTGATTGGGCAAGCAAAATAAATTGTTAAGTGAAATTACTAACTTGTGTAGGTCGATACTCGTGGAGAAACGGTGCGGGATTGTTTGAAGCCTCCCGAATTGCCGCATCACGCGGTGGCACATCTGGAACTCCACTGCATAGAAGCAGATCAGTGGGCACCGTAGGGTCTTCAACGCATCCTCTATATGGCACATGGGATTCAGTTCTAGCTCAAGCACTTCCTGTGCCTGATATGGCATCCACACCACCTGCAGCAACAAAAATAAAACACATTGAAGCGACCAGGCTAGGGCAGCCGACCCCCAGCTGAAGGTACCCGCCTCGTCCCAGTCCGCGAGCAACGGCAGCCACATCCAAGAAGCCATGTCTCCACCAGAGTCAGGGAACAGAATACTGCCGAAGATGTACAGCACGTACGCCCTGCAGTATCGCTGTACTGTAGCCTCGTCTGCCTCAGCGGGACACTGACCGAAGTTGGCTCGCAACCAACTCAAAGGAACCCCTGATGTCTTCGTCTGCCTCTGACCATCAGGTGCCACTGGAGGCTCCAGACCAAGGTACTCCTCGACCCTCTCCCTCCAGTTCCCCGACGCTGTGTCACCTGTAACCGGAAATTAAATGGAATCATTAGTAATTGCAAAAAAATTAACAAATGAATACGAAGACTCGTTAGTAATTCCCTGACGCTGTGTCACCTGTGACCGCCTGACCCCGGATAGGAAGACCCAGGATCATGGCGACGTCCTCCAGAGTGACCGTCAGCTCCCCGCACGGTAGGTGGAAGGTGTGTGTCTCTGGACGCCACCGGTCCACTAGGGCCGTCAGAGCAGCGGCGTTGTACAGAGGCACCGGTCGCTGCGCCATGGTCACGAACGCCAAGAGCTTCGCCCGCCGTAGGTACGGGACGTACCGGTCGTCGAACAGTATGTGCTAACAACATGTCTAATTTTTCCAATAAATAAGTACATTACTCAAATACTACACATTATTGATAAAAAAAAACTCTACTCCTACAAATTACCTACCCTTCACCACACATCAACCCCTTTCAAACCCTCTCAATCACCACAAATCCATCCCACATCCTAGGCCATCACCACACATCCATCTCCCATCAAACCCTAGTGCATCACCAAACATCCATCCCAAATATATTTTGTCAAATGTATCAATAACAACCAAATGGATAAAGATATGCCACCTCCACACTTCATCCCCACCCATATTATCCATCTAATAATCCATCCTTAGCCAACTATTATCAAACCACGTCTACAACTAAAACAATGCAAAATATCCAATAAAACTTTGGGGAACTTAGGGTTTATAGAGGGGTTTACCTTCTCTTCCGATCCCAAACTCAATGCCGCACAAATCACCTTCGATTAGAGAGGTTTTTGGGGGAGATTGGACGAGGAGAACGTGGTGGCGACCGAACCCTAGGCGGGCGGCTGGGGAAAAAACGGAGGAAGAACTGGCTGGGGCGGCCTCGGCCGGGCTCTAAGTAGCCAAGGTCAGCGCCAACTTACTTGGCGCTGAGGTTGGGCACCTCAGCGCCGAAGCGGTTGGCGCTGAGGTAGCTGCCACGTCAGCTAGGGGATCGGCCCGGCCGCCACGGTGGCACAATGTCAGCGCCAGTCCCGTTGGCGCTGACACGGCCAACCTCAGCGCCAATGCGCTTGGCGCTGAGCCGACGGCCTAATTTTGGTTGAAGTTTTTGGCAGGGGTTAGTTTCGAAATAAGTTTTTGAAAAGGGTCAATTTGTCCTTGTATAGCTAGCATTTATAATATATGTAAGGACATATTATGCGTGATAGGAAAATACTTTCATGAACTCAGCGCGTATCAATTCCTGATTGGACAAGATTAGGAGCTTAAGCATGTAGTTGGAAGATAAATTAATTAATGATGGTTCGTTGGAACTTGGAAGGTGGAGTAGTCAAGAAAAATGTTTACATTTGTGTAGGAATTTTAAACGCCACGAATACAAATAAATGTTGATGGAGGGAGCATTGACTTTCCATTTTTAAGTAAGAGATGTCATTTTTATGTTTATAAGGATGTCACATAAACAATAAGATATTTAAATAATAATTGAAATAGCTTGTACGTAGTTTTATTTTTTTTCATAGGTAAACATGCAAGCACAAACAATATTGAAACAGTGTATACATAGTTTTGACTAAATAAAACATATTTCACCCCCTCACTTTATTAATTTCTGGTCACATCGTTAAAAATTCACATAATGATAATACCATTAGAAGTGATCGTCTTAAATGGAAAAAACACGTATTTGTGACAGGATGAAGCAGCTATAAATAAATGCACCAGATGCTCCTTTCTATGTTTAATCAAATTATGAACAGTGTTTCAAAAAAAAATTATGAACACAGTATATGTATATCCCACTTGTTTACTCCACAATAGTTGATTTTTTACAGGGACATGGACAGTTGGACACATGTGGGACAACAATGCTTTGAAAGTTGATAGGGAAGTTCGAACTAACTCTGGTCATCCCAAGCAGTAAATGGTGCACCCTATCTATCTATCGACAGACTAATAGTTCCATGCCATTTGCTCAATAATTACATATGCTATTTTTTTCGTTAAGTACTTATACGTGCATTACTTTTCTGTGATTAAGTGTAAGTTTCAATTTGAGGAATTAAATAACTTTTCTATGTAAGTATAAAATTTGTTTTGATTACACCAACACAAACACATACTACTACTACGCACGTACACCACCACCAAGACGTGATGGTAGGTGAATTGTAGGATCTTACCATGTAGTAAAAACCACACACGCTTATAGAAGCAAAAACAACAAATCCATCTTCCAATATTTAAGCGTAACTGTTCTAAAAATACAAATATGTACCAGTGTTCAAACAAATATTGTGTTAAACCATGAAGCAAACAATTTTTAAAAAGTAAAAATATAGAGCAAACTCATAAATGATACATGTCCATCGCTAGTTTGTTTGCTTCTGCACCTATCACACACCTACCAATTTACTCCTCTGTAAGTGTGTGATAGGCTATGTCGATGTGCCACAGAGGTGTTCTCAGCCAGGGGTGGGCCTACCATGATTCATGGGTATTCAGCTGAATATCCAAGATTTTAGATTAAAAAATTTCATATATGTAATATATATTTCATATGTATGTGGAAAAGTATGCAAAATAGACTTGTTCCTTCAGAGAAAGCCTAACTTAGCACCATCCCACCTCCCTCCTCTACTCGGCCCATTGGCCCAATAACACAAATCAACCCAAAATGGATGTAACCCTTACCTCTCCAGCTCTCCTTCCCAATCTCCTCCTTGGCATGGCACCCTGGCCCCCTCCCCGACCCCGACACGATGGCACATCACCTCCCACCCACCCCCTTCCTCAACGGCGGCAGCGCCCAGCCAGCTGCGACGCAGCAGCGGCTGCTAATCTCACGCCACGCGTCCGTGCCCCTAGGCCGGCCGCCACGAAGGCGCCATTGCCCACACGCCGCCGCCCCTGCCCTGTGGCTCCCAGGTGGTGGGCCAGCCGGTGCCCGCACTCTGCCGCCCGTACCTCCACCCTCCACCAGTCCACCTCCAGTCCCTGAACCGCCTTAGACTTAGACAGCCAGACCCACACGACGGTGGAAGGTTAGAAACATTTTGGTAATTTGGTTGGATTAGGATTTTAGTATTTAGTTCATAGTTGAATCCAAGATGGTTCATTTGATTTAGGATTTAGGATATCTTTGAATCTAGGAATGGTTCACTGTTGAACATTTTTTATTTAGGATTTGAATCCAGTCATTCAGGGATGGTTCATGATTGAACAATCAAACTTTGAAACTTGTGATTCACTGATTTTGTGAAGCTTTGTAGCAGAGTTAGTACTTATAAATTGCATCAGTGCACATATTCAGCAGAGTTAGCATAGTTAGTACTTAAATTGGAAGACCATATTGTTGTTTTATAGGTTTGAAACGTGAATAGGAAAAATGCTCCCACGGTTAATTTAAAGGCTTTTTTAGAAACAGCTGTTGCAAATAAGAGAACTCAAAAACAAGTTAAGAAGCAAGATGGGATAAGAATATTTGAATGATTGTTTGATTACATTCGTTGAAAGTGATCTATTCTTCCAAGTTAAGGATATAGACATCATTACTCATTTTCAAAATATCAAGAAATGGAAAGTTCTTATCTAAATTGTAAGATTTCTTATCATTTTTTCATTTTCTATGCTCTATAAATTTAATATGTTTTGTCAATTAAAACTTTAGTATTGTACTTTAATATGCTTAACACATTCAATTTATGATCAATTATATGAATCTATAACTTTAAAAAATCATGCTTATACCGTTATATATTATACAGCTATTAGACTTTATGTTGAAAAAAATTTCTCTTCCAGTTTCAAATACCCAAGTTGAAAATCCTAGGCCCGCCCCTGTTCTCAGCTGTTACTTTACAAAGCTTGCAGAGTTGAAGTCTTGTCTGTGGCTTTGGCTAGGTTATTGCAGGAGATTTGAAGGGCTTTGTGGTGGTGGTGACTAACTCGTGTAGGGTTACGATTTATTTTTGTTCAGTAAATTGTATTTTTTTATGGTTTTAAGTTTTAATGCAAATCTGGCGGAAATGTCTTTTTCAACTAGAAAAAACCATCACATTTTGCTATTAAATCTTCATATGTTCACTTAATCCGTTCCAATTTACTATGTTGTTCTGGAGAAACCTCACCCAATTGCCAATCTAAAATCCATGCTAGCAAGGGTGCTGATGTATTCATATGTGATTCTTGACTACAATTCAGTCAGAACAATTCTAAACCCGCAATGTATTTAAAAATTCACGATAGTTTGTAACACAATGACAATTGGCTCAACAAAAAAAAATCATGGCATTTGGCATATGTTTACATGTAAACCCATATGCATTATACCGTTGGTTTATATCAGTTTACATCAGCTATAATAATAAACAAGTTTTTATTATGTTGAGGTGAAAGAGAGGGTGTGTTAAGAGAGAGAAACGTAGGCGCTTGTTTGGCCAGCGCTAGCACAAGCTCTCCTATCCGTGCCATGGGATCTACTAAGAGCACCCACTTGGTAAAGTAAGATGCTCTCTATAAAACATGTACATCTCAGCAATAGAGTAAACCACCTCAATAGTATGTCTAATAGTATGTCTATATGGATATCTATAGCTCTCTAATGCATTGCCTCGTTTTTCTCTATAGGTTATCTCTAGGTTAGTAGATAGCTTTACTCACCCTCTTCATTTAATCTCTTCCAAGTAGAAAAATATGCTGACATGGATCTCTTGTAGAGAGCCTATAGATAATCATTACGGGTGCCCTAATGCCTAACCTATGGGTGACCAACAAGATGAAGGTTTGTTGAGTAATGAAGTCGCATATTTGATTAAAATATAATTTTGATATTTGTATAAAGGTATAACAATAGCCACTAGCCAGCTATTGTACATATCTCCTTTTTACGTGGCTGTGCCGATGGCGATGCGGACTTTTTAAGTAGCAACCAACCATACTATTAAACTACTTGCTCTAATTTGCAACCATTAAGTTGAGTTCTGATAAGTAAATGCGGTCTGAAAAGGATGAGGAGAGGATTAGCAGTTATTCAGAACTGCAGAGACGTCCCTTGACATTAGCACTATCCCAATTGCTGACAGGAATCGTGATCTGGAGCTGAATTTCACCGATAGGTTTTATGTTCTTGGTCGTTTTGTGTGGCCATCGCCTGAGCATATCATTGTTGGGCATTTTCGGTTGGTAACTTTTTCTCTCCTTTCTTTCTTTGATGATATATGGAGTTGTTTGTTTCAATTCAGTTTAGTTCATTATTTTGAAATAAGATTATAAGGGATACACTAATGTCCAAATTTAGTCCCTGACTGGAAGTGAGGAATTATCCTATACATGTGGGGAATGATCATATCCTCCGTAAAATTTCTAGGAAATTTCAATGTTATAAATGGGGCCTTGATGTTATCTTTACACTACTTTTATACTATCTCTCTCCGTTCCAAAAACGACTTTATTTCGAGCTATACACGACTTTGTAACCAGCCTGATGCCCTCAACTCACCAAGCATATTGTTTGTCAAACAGGTAAAGGAAAAATGGTCCTGAAGGTCTGCACCGGATGACACCCCATAATCCAACCTGACTAGTTCCATTTATTCCAGCCAAAATTGCATATCACAAGCATATAATCTCTACATTGCATATCCTATCCAGATAATCTTAGTATTGAATATCCATATACTCCCTCCGTACAAAAATATAAGGAATTTCAATAAATGAGATACATTCTACTACTACAAATCTGAACATGATATATCTCATCTATTAAAAACCCTTATATTTTGGGATATAGGGAGGGAGTATCCATCAACATAAGTTAGAAATATTTTCTTTTTTTAAAAAAAAAAAACTGTTCGTTCCGCCTCATTGAATCTAAAATGTCAACAGATGGACAGAGTGAGGCAGCATCCAGCATCATGAAACCACGTTATGCTTTCTCTCCGTATGATTATTATTACCTGCCTGCACTCCATGCCTTCAGCGCAGGATCAAGGAGACCAAATCCTTTTAAGAGCTAAAACTCAAGAAGTCAATAATGAAAAGAAAGAAATACATTGTTGTTATGAAAATTGCACTTATTATTTGCAACAGGTAGGAGTAGCCAACTATAATCAGAAGTACTTGCCTCAAGCATAGCTCTGGTTAGTCTTTATCTCTAATTCTCTATTACTGTCCAAGAAGTGCTGTTGGTTTCCTGAGCAACCACTACATGACATGAATGTCGACAAACTAAACACCCTACATTCAAATGAAAAAAAAAAAGACATAACCAGCTCCAATCTTATGAGAACTTGATTGTAAACTCTTATGGTTAGATCATGTGTCCAAACAATTGAAGACTATATGTTCACAGACGCTTGTTAATAAGATGCCAAATCACCCCATGACTCCCGACGCGCTGGCCTGTTTTCCTTCACTGGAGAAAGCGTCCAAATTATTTGTGATATGATGACAAGGTCTCAGAAATTGCCCAAAGAATGAACCCACTGTACACATTCTAGCGGCGTCGATGTGAGCAAAACAAGTTGAGAAGTTTTATGAAGGAGCATCTCCTATGCGTATTCTTACGGGTAGCGGTCTAGCAATCAGACCATCCATCACCCAGCCACCATTTGAACCATCAAGTTTGACATGGCTAAATTCTCTTTGAGTATAATCGAGTGATGCTTCAAGCCTTCCACCAGGTCTACACGCTGAGGCAACATCACTTGGTTTGATGCCCAGATATTTCTCCAACCAATAGAGATAGTTAACATGGAATAAAGATTTGAGCATATCTTCAGGAGAAGATCCCTCTTTAAGGATGACCTGTAAATCAAAGGGTAAAATGTCAGTAACTTTGTATGATAGCAGAATGGCATCTTGAAACTGCTTGGTTCAAGATAAACTCACACAAAATTTTCCCTTGTATTCTGTAAGAAGGTATTGTTCGTTTTTGTAGAGATCAAACAATGCGCATGCATCTTCCTTGTTCTCAATTATTTCACTAAGTTTAGAACCCAACTGCAACCGCCGACAAATTATTTCTGCAGCATCTTTTGCCTGTGGTGACAAAATCTTGCTTTCCTGGTACAAAATTCAAGGAACCACATATAGTGGGACACATAAATAAGTGCAAGAATGGCACATATTGTGAATTTAAGATGTATTAAGTTGCAGTTAACTCTTGACTAGTTAAAGCGTGCCTTGGGAATGGGAGGCTGTAAGACCTCAACAATATGAAAATATAGAGGACAAAAAGTATCAGTGATTTGATGTTAGAAAAATACTTTACTTACTTTACGTGAAGTACCAATAGATAGATTCAGGAAAAGGGGTTCCTCGTCGTTAACCTCTTTGACTGAAGGAACTTGTCCACTCAATAGATACTCACTGAACACCAAACCTGTGAGACAGGAGGGCGGCAGATAAATTAGTTAATCTTATCGATTAGTAATGAAAACCAAGGAAAGACAGAATAATCCCACTAAAACTGGATGATTTTATGACACAATTGCTGCCTTGCGAGAGGCCACTTATGCAATTAATCCTCACTAAGGCTCCGTATGCCATTGAGGTGAATTCTGATAATCTAAGTTACAAACGGTAATATTAATACCTACTAAAAAGTTGGAAGTTTTGTGGGAATGAAAGTTGCATAATTGTCTTAACCTTAAAATGATTAATAAAATAATCTACAATGATTATATATTTACATTTCTAGATGACTTAGAAAAGACACACATTTATCACAACACAACAAACTGCAAACAGAGGCTAAGCCTAGCTGTAGTCAATGCCATCTCTCATCCACAGCAAACCAAGACACTAAATAATCTGGAAAACACAAGTGACCAAGATTTTTCACAGATTAGCTCCAGCAAAATCCCTCTCCTTGCTGTCTCATCTCACGCGGAGCCACAACATCATTAATCTGATCGTTGGATCAGTAAAGTTAAAACCAGATATCTGGCATGACTTTGCTAATGCAAATACCCTTCTTTCAGTGCTGTTGGATTGATTCCTAATTGACTGCCAATTTAATCTACAGAGTAGTCCATTTTATATTACAATGTATACTGTGCAAAGCTGACCATCAAGACCTCACGAGTTTTCAATCATCCATTCAAAAAAATTACAATTCAAAATATGATTTCAACCATCAATTCTAGAAAAACATACACATGTTCAGTGACAACTGCCATGCACTTACAATGGACAATTTTGCAGGCTATCATTGCAAGGGAGATATCGATATTTACCCAAAAGAATAGTGACAAAACGTGATTTTTTTAAAAAAAAAATCGTGTGATGTTTTGCTGAGTTCAATCAGCTACAGTGCAGTTTTGGTATTTGTATGTATTGTTAATATATTGATCCATCCACCAGTTTATTTGTGTTTGAACATCAATTAAACAACATTATTCATATAAAAATTGTGAGTTGTGATCATATGAAGGTTATAAAGGAACTACTGAACGGGATAAGCAGCAGTGGATAAAACATTACTTGCACGATAAGGATTCAGTGTCCTCAGCTGAATCGATTGATAAGACTTGAGGTTGCAATACATGTGAACTGCAGTAACTCCAGCAAATGAAATAAGAGCTAATGATACAGAAGAGCCAATGCGATTAGCTAATGCTATCCCTAGCATTATCCCCAGGAATTTGCTGACCATTCCTTGTGCCTCACCCTTTGCAATGACCTGAAATGTAAGATCCAATTGGTATTTAACTACTTGGGTCAGAATGCAAAGTGGGATGCGTAGGTTGAATTGACTAAATTTAAGAATTTAAAAGTTCAATTTCTAAAAAAAAAAAAAGAATCCCTCATAAGAATACAACACGGGCACAGAGTAAAAAATCTAGGGCATTTGGACAAAGTTTTGAAAAGTTTTATCACTTCGAAGTTCGAACCAGGTTTTGTTACCAAACAGTTGCACTTTAGATGACTGGTCCATGTGCAAGTGTGCCTTGCATCCACATCGTCCTTAGTTCCTTACACATTAAGCACCTTGCAGTTGATGCTAACATGCTTGTCCTCGTGTGAAAACTAGATTGGCTCCTTAACAACTCTTAGGCTCTTAGCACACATGCTCAATATCTCACATTAGGCAACCACCACCAGCATCACTGAAGCAAACAGGCACTCCCTGATTTCAGGTGTAGCATCCTCAACTGGACCTCAACAGGGTGCACCTTGGTGTCGTGATGCTGCCCCTGCCATCACCTGCTTCACGGCTTCCTCATTGATGCCACACCATCACCACTAAACGATGCCACTCCCATTTTTTCTCGCGGACGGTTGGGCCACTGGTCCAATGATAAAATTTGTAAAACCTTGTCCAAAGTGCCACTTCGATGAGAAAAAAGGGTCAAAATTGAAACTTAACCCAAAAAAAAAAAATTGACATGGTCACAAGGGCGATGCAATTATACCTATGTACCGAACCGCTGCCTGTGGGGTTTATAATTGTAATGTATATACCCAATAGGAAAGAATGAGGATTCCTGGTGCAGGCAATATAGTGAACTGTGAAAAGGACATCAAACGAAGAAAAAAAATGGAGAGCAGCAAACAAAGGTGGTGCATGCATGCAATCCAGGAGCGGAAGTCATCAATTCAGCAACAAAGACAAACTTGCTACCAATGCTATAGTCCACACAATGCTGTCATAGCAAAAGGCAGAGAACAAGACCAGGAGGTAGGAGTAATTTGGTCCAGTGTGAGCAAAATAAAAAGTACAGTGGCATCTTTTCAGAACATTAAAGGTTCGCAATGGTATATATTTTCTTGCGTAAAAATAGTATCAGCAATATCTGATATAACTGCAGCTTACCCGTAGGATTGGATATAGATTGCAAGGCTCATACATGAGAAACAAAAATTATTCTAACAATGACATCTACATGCTAAACGATTTGTTTTCATGAATGAGGATAGATTGATTTTACCTCAGCAAAGTTCCTTTGCACAGCAAATCCAGCATAGAAACAACTCCTGGTGGCAGCCTACAGAATTGAATCATTGCACTAATAGTGGTTCAAAGAAAAATAATGAATTGGCAAGTACAAAATATTGTTGGGAAGCACCATAAAAATCAATTCATAGGCAGTCAGGCTCAAATTTGCAGAATAGAGTAATAATTTCAAAGCATTCCACAAGAGTAAGCAACATTTCAAATCACCCATAATTCGGTCATACCATCTGCCACCTATCCATGCCAATTTACTGATTTATCCATTGCATCCAGTAGAATTTCAGTGAAGAGGTATGCAGGACATGATTAGAAGCAGGATATCTTCAGTTATTATGTTCTTTATGTAGTGAGCAAGATTCAGGAGACAAGGCAAAAACAGGGGAAGAATCAAGAAAGCCGAACAAGCAGTACAGATCTGTCAGGAGGAGATAATATATTGGAAAATATCCCAAAAAAACTGGACTACCAGAATGATATTGCACGTTCAATTCAGTGTATGATTAATGCCAAAATATGATACCTAACTACAAATTTGGATGACACATGTTTCCATACTAAGTGTAATCTGAACAATGCTGACCAAATCTGTAGGTGGAACATAATACGAAGAAAATGACATGCTGCAGCAGATTTCACATGAAACAATATGACCTTGCGCATATGGTTTGCATTTTCCAGCATGAAATGGGTAAATATGGTCTGCACAGGTGAAGGGGTACAGCAACAATGACAATCCATATCAAAATCAACAGTTCTGACCTGTATCAAAGCAGCTGCTGATCGACCAGCTCCAGCGGCAGCCCCAATTGGAACAAACAGGTGAGGAAAGACCGGAGTTAAAATCTCCAGCCCATAAGCCGTGTTCTCCAGAAGATCGGCGAACAATCGCCACCCCTTTGGGTTAACATCGAAATGCCGGCCGAATTTCGATAGCAATATCTTGCTCAGGTACCCCAACCCATCCTTCAGCACCCAATTCACCGCTGCCGCGGTAGGTATAGCGCCTTTCCCCAATCCAACCGCATACAACAATGCCTAGACAGGATAAATACACAAATTCACCAATCGAAAATGGCACATTTCAACTAATAGCCGGTGAATTGCACACAGATGGACGCGGCTCAGGCGCCACAACCGTACCTGCGTCGAGAGCACGCCACTGATCTGGCTGGCGATGCCCTGCACGCCGCGCCACAGCGAGTACTGCAGGTAGTCGCTGCTCACGCTGTCAGGGTACCCATCCGGGAGCAGCAGCTGAACGGCGACCGTGGCGCACCGCCGCCACGACAGCTCCAGCTGGCGCCGCAGCGCAGCCAGCTCGGCACGGCCGGCACCGGCCTTCTCCGCATCCTCCCCCTCCGCCTGCTTCCGCCTCCCGTCTCCCGCGACGACGTAGGAGGTCCCGGTCGGGTCCGGCACGAGCAGCGTGCGCGCACCGCCCCTCACCTCCCAGACGCTCGCTCCCTCCCTGCCGCCGCTACCGCCGATGGCCTCGGCGAGCGCGGCCGGGATGGCGGCGAAGGCGCCCGAGTGGAGGAGCACGAAGAGGAGGAGGAGCTCGGGGTGGAGCGACTGGAGCCACCGCCACCACCCGTCGCCGGGGTCAGGAGGGCCACTCCCCCCTTGCCTCCACCACCCACCTCCTCCTCCTCCTCCTCCGCCACCACCACCGCCATCACAGCCAGGAGAGGAGATCGCGAGGGGTGGCGGGCGGGAGAGGTTGGCGGCGAGGCGGGGGAGGCGGGGAGCGGAGGTGGGAGGAGGGGGAACGAGGCGGGGAAGGGTGGGTGGGGAGAGAGGGGCCGCGAGGAGGAGGAGAGATTGCGAGGAGGACATCTCGGAGGAGCGGTTTGGTTATGGCCGCCGGCGGCGGCGGCGGAGGAGGAGGAGGGGTTTGCAGCGATGGAGGCGACCGGCGGCGGCGACGGCGGCGGCGGATTGGAATTTTCAATGTTGGGGGGATATGTGCGGCATAGACGGACCCCGTCGTCAAAGTTTAGACTGGGCTGGTTAGGCCCGGCCCATTTTCCGTGAAATGGGTATCAATGCGGCCTGCTGAGGCAGAATCGGACGGTAGTACAGTATCATTTAGCAACTTTTGGACTTTGAGATTTACGTGGCTAGGAATAAGTTCATTTTAGGTACCTTAACTCAACGAGTTCGATTCTCACCCTCAAACCAAAATAGCAGATAGAACGAATCCCTCAATTATTAAAACCGGTGTAATATGGAATTATAACGGATGGTTTTATCCGACGTGGCAATTTGACATGAGTCAGCAGCACTGAGTCAGCATGAACCCACATGTCAGAATCTCTTCACCTCTCTCTCTCCCTCCCTCAGTCCTATCTCACGAAGCAGAGAGCAGTAAGGGCCTATTTGGCACAGCTCCAACTCCAGCTCCACCCCTCCTGGAGTTGGAGCTCAGCCAAACAGTTTCAACTCCACCAAAACTGGGAGTGGAGCTGGGTGGAGCTCTCTCACAAAATGAACTAGAGTAGTGGAGCTGGGTTTAGGCAGCTCCACAACTCCACTCCAGACTCAACTCCTGGAGCTAAATTTAGGAGTTGGAGCTGTACCAAACAGGCCCTAAGCCAGTGAAGAGAAGATCGGCTCTAGTGTGGGCCCATGCCACCTACCGGGGAACGACGGTGACGGACCTGCGGCGCACGTGATGTCTAGTAGAAGGAGGACTCCCTTGGAACGACAAGGAGAGGATCCAGCGCCGACTGCTCTGCTCTGCCGCCTACTTCGGCAACGTAGCACGTCAGCTTGGTCGTCTTCACCGCAGCGCCGATTGCTGCCCAAATCCCCCCAGTGTCGGGATGCCTCGCTTCAGTCATCGTCCCACCTCATTTGGGGCCGATCGGCAAGCGAGTGAACTCCTTCGTCATCACCTCCGTCCAAGACAACGACTAGGGCAAAGGCGATCGCTCGTGATAAGGATGAGGGTTGGGCGGCCGGTTCTGACAAAGGACACCTCGGTCGCTACCGCTCCCCCTTTTCCCAGTCCAGGGGCATCCTGGCCTAATCGGGTCCTCGTGCAAAATATTAAAATGGGGCTCTAGTAGCCTAGTAAATTTTTTATAGTAAAACTAAAAACGGGCGTGGCGATCAGCCGATCATCAGCGATGAAATAGAAGCGGATGCCGGAGGAGACTGGGGAGAGGAGATGAAGAGGCTGCGGCGTCGGGATTTCGACTACACACGACGACGCGGACGCCTGGACGGGAATACGATGGAAAATGGATCGGTTCACCTTCTGCAGCGTTTTGGGCATTGTTTTACTACTTCCTCCGTTTCACAATGTAAGTTATTCTAGCATTTTCTACATTCATATTGATGATAATGAATCTAGATAGATATATATGTCTAGATTCATTACCATCAATATGAATATGTGAAATGCTAGAATGACTTACATTGTGAAATGGAGAGAGTACTATTTAGGGCCTCTTTGATTTGTAGGAAAAATGTAGGAATTTTGGAGGATTTCAATCCTATGGAAAAAAAAAATCCTATGAAGGCCTTTGAAACAAAGGATTGGATCCTATCCAATCCTTTGAAATTCCTAAGGAATGGGTATTCCTATGCACATTTTGGAGGAAAGTTAGCAAGAGGTCTAACCTCTTGGAACATTTCCTCTGAGTCTATCTCTCTCATCTGATTCTTGCGTTTTTCCTATGGTCCAATCAAACGGCCATTCTTGTGTTTTTCCTATGTTTTGCAATCCTCTGTTTTACAATTGTATTCCTGTCAGAATTCTGTGTTTTTCCTATTCCTTTGTTTTTTTATTCCTACGATTCAAAGACTGCAAATTAACAAAATTAAAGCCTCTAATATTATTATATATATATGACATACTTAATTTGGGGGGCCTGTTCGGTCGCACAGCCCGCACGGGCCCAAGGACACCCCTGCTAGTCGCTTCCACCCAGGTCAAGCCCTGCAGCTTGCTACTGCTGCGGCTAGTCCGGCCACCGCCTCGAGAACTGCCCGCTGGAGCGTTGTTTCCTCTCGGCTTGTTGCCCTCTACAAGACTACAAGTGCTGAAGTGCACCATGGCCATCGTGCCAGAATCTCTGCGCCGCATCGCAGGTCTTCATCGCCATGCTAGCTGCAGGCCGTCACAGCCGGCGCTTCGGTCGCTGAACCAGGACCCGCCGAAGCCTGCCCGTCATACTGGCCCCCGGAGCCACATCGCGGTTCGCACATGTCACGTACGTCGACTCGTCGAGTCCCTACTCCCTAGAGCTCGAGCCTTCGAACAAGTCGCCGGCGCAGCAGTGTGGTGCTCGTGCGCACATATCGTACCAGGTCACAAAGCCGAAGCTCCGCGACACGTGCGAGGAGGTCGGCTCCATCTTGTTGCTCCGGCTCGCCGTCGACAGGCCACGGGCAAACCAAGGGGCTTTTTGTTTTGTCGATTACAGGTCAACGACGAGACATCCCGTAGTACCTGCCGCAACGGTGCAACCTCGATCGCCACGCCCTCCGTGGTAGCGTGCTCCGCATTGGCCTTGCCGAGCTGGAAGCGGGACGGTGCCCGCGTGGCGATGGCTGTGGTGGCGGTGAGCTGCACGAGCCAGTGGGCATCGAGGATGCCACACACGCCGCGTCACCCGGGGTGTTATCTAGCGCCACTATCACGGATTCACGGTGTCCCTTTGTGGGGCTGAGCCAACGGCAACTGTGGCCTGTGGGTGGGAGACGGTGGATACCGTGGAGGCGCAGGGAAACGTCACGCGCGCCACCGGCCGCATAGAGGCCCTGAGACGTGGGAGCCAACGCTGACTCGGGTCAACTTGCCACTCGGACAAAATCACTCGCTATGTTACCATAGGACCTATATTACACAGGTTTTAATAGTTGAGGTACCTATTGTATATGGTATTTCGGTTCGAGGATGAAAATTGAACTCCCTATGAAGTTAAGGGGCCTAAAATAAACTTATTCTAGGACTATAATGAGGCTGATCGGTAGTGCTATGTGCGCAGCCAGCTAGTCAGCCCAAATCTACACAGAACAATTGATTTGTAGCAGCATCAACAAGGGTGTGTTACTTGCTGACCGATGCACTGTTGTAGCCAGCCCAAACGATTATTTAAGGTTAATACTAACAATAGGCTTTTGGACGGTCTAGATCGATTTGAGATTCATCTTGATATGATAACACCTGGTTCTCTATCGGAGTTGGGGTGTTGCTGACACTAGAGAAGAAGAGTTCTTCAAAGCTGGAGGAAGAGTTCGAGCTCAAATCTTAACGTGATTTTGGTAGTGAAGGATTTTGTAGAAAATATATCCTAATTTTCTATCAAATACCATTTAGCAAATCCATTGTATTATTGTAGAATGATTTTTTGTTTATTAGTGTTGGAGGTACACTATGAGAGCCTTCGGCCGAGCCTACCGAAACCAAGAACCTGGGCAACAGACTCGAGCCGGAGGCGAGCAGCGAAGATCGAGAGGGTAGCCATATGGGCAAAAACTACATGGCGAAAGCCATGGCTTAAAAAACACGCGGGCTCCACCAAGCATGAACTTCGTCGGAGGGCCGTACGGGCGAAAGCCTAGGCGTGAAGACATGGGCTTCGTCGTATATCGAACCCCACCGGAAGAAGGCCTAGCGGGCCGTTGCGCCTTTGGGGAGTTTCGATAAACTGTTGGGCCGTGCCATCCTAGCCCAGTAAGGGCCCGTACATGTAAAGGACACTTTGTACCTCTAGTGTGGTCCTTATCATAAGAGTAACCATGTAAATTCCCCTGTAAAATCTAAATCCTAAAGGGGAAGTCTGTAATAGGACTATAAATAGCCTCCTAGGGCCATGTAATGGGGGATCAAAAAATTTTTACTAAGCAATATAATTGTCTTTACTTTCAACACTACTGTTGAGAGAACCACGTCTTTCAATATGACGCGGTTGTCCATTCGATAACAATTAGGATGTTCTTTGTCATGAAACGATTGTGTGTATTCAGGACGTTGTCTGCAGCCGCCCTTTTTGTTCTTATCGAAATTTGCATGACACAGCTCGCAAATATAATTTCTAGTTGTTGCTACATAACGTCAATTTCGACTATCTCACTGGTAGAGAAAGGGGCTTTACTCCCGGTTGGGAACCCCCTATAGTCCCGGTTATATAACCGGGACTACGAATCTGGGACTAAAGATGGATACCGGGACTAAAAATCCATTTTTAGTTACCAACCGGGACTATAGATGATAGGAGCAGTCCTGGTTAATTGTTTCACTAACCGGGACTAAAGATGGTAGGAGCAGTCTCGGTTAATTCTTTTTTCTCAAATCGATCTGCTCCCTAAATATTCCCGATCATATTCCCAAATCATCCCCATATCAATCAAAGTAGCATCACAGATCTGGAAAGAAATACATCACATATTGGAAAGAAATGCATCACAGATCACAATACATCACATCACAAAATCTCAAACAAAAAATACATCACAAATCCTAAAAGAAATACATCACAACTCCCAGATCAGATCCAATATCACATACATCACAGATCAAATCCAATGAATCACAGATTAAAAAAAAATCGGTAGCAGAGAGGAGGGCGCCACCGGACTCCCGGCCACTGTCCTCACGGCCTCTGCGTGAGCTTGGCTAGCCAGCCGGTGCACCCGCCCGCCTGGCCGCCTGCCGCGCCAGCCCGCCCGCCCGCCTGCCGCACCCAGACGGCTGGCCACCGCCGCTCCCGCCGGGCGCCGCTGCTCCCGCCCGGCCGTCGCTACCGCTCGCCGGGCCGCCGCTCAAAGAGGGGAAGGGGAGGAACGGGAGGGGAAATGGGAGAGGGAGGGATGGAGGAGTAATGAGAGGGGAGAAGATCGAGAGGAGTGCGCGGATAATATGTGAGTTGGTGGCGCGGTGTACTTTTTACTCCCGGTTGGTATAAACAACCGGGACTAAAGATCTATTTTTAGTCCCAGTTGTTTATATCAACCGGGAGTAAAAATAATTGGTATAAACAATTATTTTGGTGGCACGCGGATAATATCTGGCATGCGGTTCGGGGTACTCTTTACTCCCGGTTAGTATAAACAACCGGGACTAAAGATCTATTTTTAGTCCCGGTTGTTTATACCAACCGGGAGTAAAAATAATTGGGGTCTGTCTTGAACCCCACGACTTATTGAACCGGGACTAAAAAAGATCTTTAGTCGCAGTTGGTAATACCAACCGAAACTAAAGATTAAAAAGTACCCCTCAACTTTTAAATCGGGACTAAAGATGTTTTTTACTTCCGGTTTTTATTAGAACCGGGACTATTGTAGAATTTGGCCGAACGATTAAAGATGGTTTCTCCACCAGTGTCTGTCAACGATTTAAAACTTTAAATTGGAATGCAACTTTTTGGCGGAAATACGAATAGCAAAGTGGTACTTCATATAAATTTGGTCAGTTTTCAAGGGTCTTCACAGGAGAGGGGTTGTCTGGACTTAAGAGGTCTGGAAAATCTCAACACTGTGATATGATTTTCCAAAATTTTGGACTCTCAAAAATAACAAATGTTTCAATTTCCGGAACATTATTAGTGCGAAATCAAACCCGCACGCTTTCTTATTAATTTACGCAGGGGAGAAGGCGCAGATCGTGAGCGTCTGGCCGGACGCGCACGGGGCGACGGCGCAGCCGACGGTCTTCCACGCCGGCTGCACCATGTCCTTGTAGCTCGCGCACTCCTCGCCGCCGCCGGCCACGCACTGGTTGGCGCCGGCGTCGTACCACCGCCGCCCCTCCGCCCAGGCCCCCACCGCGTCAGCCGCGCGCCGCCGCCCGGGGCCGCCGCCGGTGACGAAGTACGTCAGGGCCACGATCGGCTTGAGCAGGACTCGGGTCAGCCCCGGATCGAGGCCGGCGTTCGCCACGTCGCACCGGCCTTTGGTCGGGTCGCTCAGCCATTCGGCCCTCAGCTTGGCGCGCTGGGCCACCGTCGCGCTCCACGCCACCGGCGGCGCCCCGGCCTGCCGCCGCGCGTCATTGACGGCGGACACGAGCTTCGCGGCCGCGGCGGGGCTGAGCGGCCCGATGCCGCGAGGCGCGGAGGCGGCGTCCGGCAGGTGGGAGGCTAGCGCCAGCAGCGACAGGATGGCGAGGCAGGAGGAGGAAGACGACATGGTTAATTGTGCTTTTTCTTTTGTATGATGAAGATTTGTTTATATAGTAACTAAAGATTTGTATGAAACCCTCGAAATTTATGTCTCAAATTTATTGTTATTTTAATATATCAGGTAGAACTCCTACATCTGCTGTTAAAAAAATTTATTGTTCTTTCGTTACACAAATGTATACTCATTCCGTTTCAAAATGTTTGACACTGTTGACTTTTTAATACAAGTTTGACCATTCGTCTTATTAAAAAATTTATGAAATATGTAAAAATATATGTGTACATAAAAGTATATTTAATAATGAATCAAATGATATGAAAAGAATAAATAATTACTTAAATTTTTTGAATAAGATGAATGGTCAAACACGTACTACAAAGTTAACGGTGTCAAATATTTTGAAACGGAAGGAGTATTTTTTAGTAACCGAGTGACGGTGCTTCCAGTGATTCGTGTTAACTACTACGCGAGTAACTGCAAGTGAGTTCTGAGATACTAGTAGATAATAAAACGTTCGCATGCGGTTACAACTTACAAGCAAAAGGATTGATCGGTACTATGTCATATAATTAAGTTTTACCTATATCTCTGTGACACTTTACGTTTCAAAATCAACTGAAGTCTATCAACTCTGTTCACAATGGATGCTGTTAATTTTAGGATGCGTACGGACAATTGAACGTAACATTTTAGAGATCACTACTATATAAAAAATGATAAGATTTGGTATATAAAAATAATATCAGTAGATTTGTCATGAAAAATTAATAATGTTTTCACGTAGTTATGTTTCCAACAATTTTCGTATTTCATATTAATTACATGATTAGAAAATGTAATGATAAAAAATATACATGTGAATGCCAAATATGATGTTTTGGTTTATGTTTAAAATACTTTCTAATCACCAGCTAGGTTCCTCAATGTTTATTGTCCAACTCGACAATAAGTGGGCTGCCCGTGTCAAGTGACATTAGCATGTTAGAGAGACACCATAATACGTATACGTGCATGCGAAGATGGAGAAATAAGTGAGATCATCTAAAAAAATCCAACATCTATACTTTAGAGTGAGAGTACTAGCGATCGGACGTCTGATGGAATACAAAAATCGGATGCTACTATGGGCTGGTGTACGCTACTCACATGGCTCTGCTACATGCATGTAGCTATGCACTATTTCATTCTTACTTTATTATTTCTGTACATGGTGAATTAACTACTCTCTCTCATCTCTCCCATTAAATAATAGCACAAACTAACTTTGTTAGAAAACTTTAAATGATTTTTTCTTCTCAATTATTTGTCCAATCTATAATTCGATTACACTGTTATATTCGTTACAATTAGATCTTTACAATAAGATCCAACATGATTTTATTTTGATAAAAAATAATTGCAAAAAAGATGTTTCATCGGTTATAAAAAAATGTTTCAGCACTTGAGGTCAAATGTTTCAACTCGTCTTTAATTATGTTTCAAATTATGTTTCAAAGAGATATAATATTTAATATCATCGCAACACTAGAAATTACTACATGAAACATTGAATCTTAACAAATGAAACACAAAAGAAAATAGTAAATAGTACGGTACATACTATAGATTTACAAATACTTGATTTTATTGAAATATTTTTATAGCACATGTACATGAAACATCGAGTTGTAACTATTGAAACATAAAGCAACCCTTGCTAAAACATACTCATAATATGACATGCAACATTTGCAAAATAAACTAAACAAACATCGGAAAAATATTTATAGGAACATCCAAATAAATCAGTGTGCAACATTCAGAAAAAGATTAACTGCAACATAAAATTAAGCTAAATTTAAAATTCATCAGGATTTAGTCATGTGAGATCTTGTTGTAAAATTTAATTACAACAAATATGATAGTATAATCCAATTATATAATATTTGCAACATTTTTAATATTTGCTGAAATGTATGGATGATACCGTGTACAACATTTTTAATTAACTAGTGAATACTTATTTAAACACTCAACCAACACATATGCAACATTTACAAATAAACCAGTGAAACATAATAAACTATTTACTGAAACATAGAAATAGCACCATGTGATACACTAAGAAAAGATATATACAGTGCGACACTAATTAAATATGTACAACATAATATAATTTCAGCTGAAACATCTGATTCTCATATGTGAAACATTAAATTTAATTGGTTAAAACATATGTATATTTTTTCTTATAATATAGTCATGTGAAATCTTGTTGTAAAGATTTAATTGTAACGAATACATTGGTGTAATCGGATCATAGATTGGATAAGTAATCTAGAAGAAAAATCATTTTCAAGTTTGCTAAAAGGGTGTTATGTACATGCAAATAACCTCATGTCCTCTCTCCTTCATGCATACTAATGCTCAGTAAGGAAGCATATGTAGCATGTGTGCAAAGAGAGGATCTGGCAAAAAGCCTACAAAGGAGTAGGCTGCATGCATCAAAGTCATAGCGAGAGGCGTCCGATTTTTTTCTCGAGATCGGACAACCGGATTGAAACATTTTCCGTTTTAGATCTCTGCCATAATAAAAAATAAGGTGGGATTATCCATAAAATCCTTATGCTTGGTAGTAATTATTTACCACTCCCATAATATGTAGTGGTACCAAAGACACATTTAATGTTTAATTTCTTTGTTACTCTCTTTGTCCCACTCACTACGACGTGGTCAAACTTGGTACAGTTTTCAAGACTAATCGTTGACTTTAAATTTCTCATATACTATAATAGTAACAAAATCATAAACATATGAAAGTAAATTTAAATGATAATCCAATGATACTATTTTTAAATTTCTCATATACTATAATAGTAACAAAATCATAAACATATGAAAGTAAATTTAAATGATAATCCAATGATACTATTTTAATCAAATATAATTTCATTAATAAACTATTTATCGATCAAATATTTAAAGAGTTAAATCTTACAATATGTGTGCGCCTTAGTTAGTGGGACGGAGGGAATACGTGCTTTTTCACTATAGTGCGGATGTAAGAGTTTGTACCCATAAGAAAAATAGTGCAACAGAACTTTATGAACTTACTTTTACAATATTGATAAGAGACAAATCTTGCATGTAAACATATTAGAGCTAATCTAACTTATCTCCTATATTAGTGTCTTCACCCTACTAAATGTAATTGATGCTCTCATTATATTAACTATTTTTAACCATTGGACCATTGGTTTAAGATGCAAATTGTCTATTTTTTTATCTTTTGAAGTTCTCAGTTTTCTCTTCTCTAATTAATAAAACCAAATCATCCAAAATTATTTATAGCAATTTGATAGTTGATCAAAGGTGCAAATAATAAATTTTATCTTAATTTCGAAGATAAAGTGAAACCGATTATCTACGAAACAAATTCTATTATGATATAATATTCGTGCAATTATATACAGGGTTGGCATTTAGTTCCAGACTGAAGTAGTGAAGTACTCTCTTAAGTCATATTATTTTTTGTTCTTTTTTTACTTGTCTTCGATATCGACACAATCTTGAATGCATAGGTTCTACCATTATATTTTTCTAATTAATATAAAAGTGCCATTTACAAATATATTGTTATTTTGACATATTAAATCGTAATATTTTTAATATATTAATTATTCAAGATACTGCACGCATAAATTTGAGTCATCCTTGAGAATAGTGGGGTGTAGTAATCTTTATTGAACGTTGTACTCCGAAAGTGAAATAATCATGTCAAAATGGAGTTTACAGGGTCTCAAATTCCAACGGAACATTATATTCAAGACAAGCCGCGAAGAAGAAAATTAATATGCCCAGCATATGCTATCTTATTAGTAGTATTTTGTAAAAATGGAGCTTAATTAGTACATGATTGTAGTACTAGCATAGATAGGCTCAGATCAATGCCTGCCCACCGTAGTACTCGCAGACCATGATCGTCTTGCGTGACGCGCACACGGCGACGGCGCACCCGAGCTGCTTCGACGCCGGCTGCACCATGATCTCGTAGTCCCCGCACTGCTTGCCGGCGGCGCACGCCCTGGCGCCGGCGTCGTACCACCGCCGCTCGTCCGCCCACAGCCGGACCGCGTCCTCCGGCGAGGCCCGGCTACCACCGTCGCTGAGGAAGTAGGTCACGGCGCCGCCGTGGGCCGGCGCCGGGTCCCCGCCCTTCTGCGCCTGCAGGTCGCACCCGCCGGGGCCGCGGAGCCAGGTGGCGCGCTCCTTGGAGTGCCGCGCCGCCGCGCCGCTCCACTCCAGCGGCGGCGCCCCGGCCTGATGCCGCACGTCGTTCACCGCGTACAGGAACTTCATGGCCGCGATGTGGCCGCGCGGGATCGCAGAGCGGCCGAGGCCGGCGGCGGCGGAGACGGAGGCAGCTGGCAGGTGGTTGGAATTAGCTAGAGCTAGCAGCGATAGGACGGCGACGGCGACGGCGACGGCGACGGCGAGGCAGGGCAAAGAAGACGACATGGTTGATTTCTTGTGGTTCTCACACAGTACACTAGGGTGATGTGGCGATATATACTGGAAAGATCTTCTGCATGCGAAACTGATCTTGAAATTAAGTTGAAACTTTATGTCTCAAATTGATTGTTTTAGTAACCGAGTGAACTGTTGTAAGTGATTCACGTTTTATTTGAGTAACTGTGAGGTTTCTGTAGAATTAATTAGATGTGATAAATAGAAAAAGTCTGATCCAGAGACGCAAGTGAGGAAGAAGTTAGATCCCGACGTGTACATTTGGCGGATTTTCTATGTTTTAGGCCATAGATCTTTCATGTTTATGTTTCTGGTGTTGGATCAATATAATGTTGCACTGGACTTTTTTCCGGTGTATGTTTTATATTTTTGTCTTTGATTGTTTCTGAATGTGTTAGTTTTCATCAGTTGAATCGGTATGTTTTGTGTGAGACCCAAATGTTTTAATCGTGATTCACCGAAATGTTTTAATCGATATGTCTTAATTTGATTCTTTAGATTTAGCTACAGTCTGAATCACTGACATCACAAAGAAGCTACAGGAATTAATTGACGGCTTTGATCTCCAGCATGGACAATGCATGATTAACCCTAATCACATGGATGGCAGTGACAAGGCTGCTCTCAGCGCCAACAAAATCAAATATAGAGTATAAAATTGCAATGTCCACATAGCAATGTGGGCAGATCATCATATTGGCCACACATCAGCAAGTGATGGTGGTAGACTGAAGAGGTAAGAGCGTCTGCCAAAGTGCGACATATATTCTAAAATGGCGTGAAAGGTTTCAAGGAGCTACACCCTCTGTCTTGAAAAGAATCAACTTCTAGTTATGAACTTGTCAAGATTCATCCCTAGATGTTCGTTTATATGGGATGGAGGAAGTTGTAAAATCAAAGCGTGTTTGATTATTATTCTGTGATGAACAATTGGCATTTGAGTTTATTGGTTTTGATATTTGGAGATTATTGGCGAAGTAGTTTTGGATATGATTGATTTTCATGTGATGAACAGGGTTTGCTATTTTGTCGGGTCTGGTCAGACCGGGCTGGTGAGGCCGGTCAGACCGATGCTATGCGAGCGGTCAGACCGGCCAGCCCGTGGTCTGACCGGCCGACTCTGTGTCGGTTTCGGTTTCGGGTTGTTTGTTTGGATATCCGTGGATGTTTCATGTTTATGGCTTCTAGATAGATACTATACGTATGTAATACTGTTATTTGCTAACAATGAGTCAAATTGGAGATAGCTTGGTCTTAGAATATGGTTTCTTTGTTTGATTCATGTGTAGGTGTCTTAATGCCTCCGGAGAGTATTGCCAGTGATGGATCGGAATTCAACTTGGAGATAAGGTGACGTCCGGACGGTCAGATATCATGCGGGATACTTAGGCTAAAGATCAATGCACGTGGTTGGTGAAGATTCCATATGGCATACGATGGAAGGAGTATGTGATGCGGAGTCGAATTTGGAAGGAGTCCAAATTTGGTATGATTGGAGTTTGTAAAGTTGGTTTCTTGTACGGAAAGGTTTCCTAGGTGGATTAGGACTTCTTCTATGAGTTTAGTTTGTGGCTTTAGACTGCATACCTCATGTATAAATAGAGGGAGGGTGTGGCCTCCCGATATCGCTTTTGAGAGCATTGAATTGAGAGTTGAGTTAGGGTTTCGAGTTTAGTCGAAATTTTCGAGGAGTGTTGTTGTTGCACTTTGTAAACACAAAAAGAAGTAATAAAGTTGTCATATACATCAAGAGTTCTTTGATTTGTGTTTGCTCGGTTTCGGCGGTCTAACCGGCGAAATACCATCAGTCAGACCAGCGGCATCGTGGCGGTCAGACTGGTGGCGACTTCAGGCGACGATAGCTAATCTCGCCGGTCAGACCGGAGATGCAATCTCGGTCAGACCAACAACATTCAGGCGGTCAGACCGGCGCATCTACTTCGGTTAGACCGCGATCCGACGAATTCGAGGGTAACTTTTATTTCCACTAAAAGTTTTGGTTTTTGGGTATACCAACCATTCACCCTCCTCTGGTTAGCTTAGTTATTGGTATTCGATCCTATAGAAGTAGCTGTTACTTCTTTTATCACTTGTTTCTTAATGCTCTATCTACATATACGTCTATCTGAGGTGGGAGGATCAAGGGTACCTAGGATGTGGAAGATGGGATTACTAGTGTGTTTTTATACTTGGGGCAATTGCATCAGTGCCCCCATTTTCGAAGCCAATTGCTGTTTTACCCCAAATTTTTAGGGTTTGCAGTTTTACCCTTACTTTTTAAATCTGAAGAAGCCATGTACCCCCACTTCTAGCAGCCGGTTTTAACAGTGTTAGTTGTAGAGAAAAGGATATTTATACCCTTGGTTGTTATTGCAATTTTGCCCCATTTTTTTCAGCTTTGTGTGATTTTGCCCCTACTTTGTGACTTCAGCTTATGTGAATAATTCAAATGTGAGAATCTGCTATGATGTTTTTGTATTTTTAACAAAAAAACTCACAAAAAACTAGACAATTACAAAATTTGACCGAAATTTAAATAAAATTTGGACAGCATTTCGATAGAATTTTGACACAACTAGCACAAGTCACATATAAAGCAAGCATTACAAAGTGTCCCATACAAATTAGCCATGGTACATATAAGTCATCAACCACAAACATTGAGTGTCCACAAACATAATTGCACACATCACATATCCACAACATAGAGGGTAAATTACCACATATTACAGTCCAGATCATATTACTAAGTCTATATATGCACAAAAGTGCACAACATATAGATAGATGTCCAAAAGCAAACAAACCATGAAGATTCTGGAACTAGATTGAATAGAGGTATATTCAATTGAAATTTTCTCAACAGTAAAATAAAAATCAGTTAATATTGGATTTGATGGAGCACCTGACAAAGTGACAAACTTCTGCAGTTAAGAAAAACTACCAAAGACTGAGTAAACGATAGCAGTCAAATAAAATTGACTTAACACGGTTGTGGAATAAAATTGAGTTAAACTTCAAACTACAAAGTGTTCAACTGAAATTGCGGTGAAATTGCGGTCAGGCTTGTGGTAGCGCTTGACAAGGCAGACGCTGTCCTTGGCGAACTCGCGTAGAGGGTCGACGACTGAGTCGACGGCGTCCATGGCGGCGGCCGGAGATCTCACGGGGCTTTGCGTAGAAGAGTCGCGGCCGCCGGTTGTGGACCTCCTAGGAGCGGGCGCCGGCCGGCCCTCGACGCGGCCGCCCGACCGCCCTCGACGCGGCAACTGCCATCCTGGGAGTGGGCGCCGGCGCACGCCCTCGGCCGCCTCGCTCTGTCGCGCACTGCGGGCCCACTGCCGCCACCAAACGGCTGTCACAAGTGATTGTAGACGGCTGCTTGAGATTCAAAAAGTGAGGATAAAAATACAAACCCTAAAAAGTAGGGGCAAAACAACAATTGGCTTTCAAAGTGGGGGCACAGATATAATTGTCCCTTTATACTTTCAAAAGAATCTTGCTTAAACATGTCTTTATTTATTGGGTTCATTAGATTCATGCCATTATAAATTTTATAGTTTGGAAATATGCCATTAATATTTATCTATTTGATACCATGTCATTACAATTTGACGAGCATTGGAGATATACCACTACATATCCTTTCACAGTTATATCTAACTTTTTAGGACCAAATTACCCTTCTTCTGCTTCATCCCTTTCTTTCTCCTCTCTCATGTCATCCAACCAACAAACTCTGACCATCCGACGAGGTTTATGTAGCCGGCTGCATCCTGTAGTGGTGGACTGCACGGTGAGGACTACAGCTTGGCACCGCCGATCTCCCAAAACACCTCCGCGAGCAACGCTGCATCAGTGCCCTCCACTGGCGCATCCGACGTGGTCTCGGCAAAGTTCGAAGATGCCGTCGGTGGTGGTTGGTCCGTTCACAGGCTGGTCGGTGGCGTGGACGGCAGGAGCGCCCGCCACATTGTTGGAGCCGAGGTGCTGCCCAGCATGTACGAACTATACGGAACTAGCCTGTACACTTACGCTCATACATGGCGTGGTTCAGTCACTGTACGTCTCTACATCTACACAGTTATACACATACATAGGCCAATGCATGCTGTATATTCCTGAATCCTAGCTAAAATGGGTGCAAGCAAGCAACTGATCTCACGGCTGCATGCCACTAGCCACATCAAATTCTAAAAAGAGAGAAGAGAGGGGAAGTAGAAAGGAAGAAGAAAAGGGTAATTTGGTCCTAAAAAATACTCCCTCCGTTTCAGACTATAACATTTTCTAATAGCACAGTAGCGGAGGACGGAAAAAAAAGAGGTATAACTCATGGACACATACCTAATCGCACTATACTGTACGGCACAACATTGTATCAATATTCAGCATGGCAATAATCACTGGAACAAGGGAGAGGATAGATATGCATAGAATCTGAAAAAAGGAGAGCAAGGATTGATTAGGGACGATTGAATCGGGAGGAAGGCCACTTGCTTCAGCTTACCTGCTGCTGCTTGCCTTACGCCTACCACATCGCTCCTGCTGTCTGCTGTCCTAGCCGCGTAGCCGCGCCACCGCACACCAGCTCTGGCGCCCAGTCGCCGCTTGTTGATCTCATGCGGGGAGCTGGATGCGGATGCCTCCCGCAGTTCCAAACGGCCGCGCCGTCGTCGCCTCATCGTCCGCCGCGGCGGCGGAGATGGGGAATTTCTGAGCTAGGGTTAAGTCTAGTGAATCATCCACATATGCCCACATTAACACGAAACGAGCCCAATGGGCCTACGATTGAGTGGAGAGTGGCCCAGCAGCGAGTGCCCTGTCTTCGCCCATCGCCTGACGCCGCACCTCGCCTCTGCACCTGACTGCCGTCAGCGGCTTGCCGGAGTTGGAGGTAGAGGGTGTTGGTACGAGCGGGCGGCGAGGTATGGCGAGTCCTCCACCACTGCTCTAGCATTACCCACATTTATATAGATGTTAATGAATCTAGCACATATATGTCTAGATTTATTAACACAAATATGAATGTGGGCAATGCTAGAAAGTCTTATAATATGAAACGGAGAAAGTAGATAATACTGTGAAGTGGTATGTAGTGGCATATCTCTAATATTTGTGAAATTGAAATGACATGGTACCAAATATATGAATAATAATGGCATATTAGCAAACCATAAAATTTATAATGTCATGTATGCAATTAACCCTTATTTATTTTGTTTCTGATGAGCTATGCAAAATTAGTTAAGATGATTTTTTTGTTCATTACGTTTTTATTTTAAAGAAATGTTTTGTTGTGGGACATCACCAAGCAAAATATCTTTTCTATTTAAAAATATAGAAATGTTAATATCTATTTGTGTGGTACACACATAATCATTTTTTCACACAATTTTTTCCTTCTACACATATATCCTCTTCATATCTATTTGCTTATGATGTTTATATATTATAAGGTTACTAACCACAGAAACAAAATGTTAGGTATGTACCAAAACTTCCATATATATATAGGAACCACTCTACATGGTCTTAATCATCCATATAACCTCTTGACAGGGCAACTGATTGAGAATCATCTGTAGTTTTGTCCACAGTCCTAGCAATATGAGGAAAATGGGCACCCCACTTTCTGCATTGTATTATAGGGTTACTAATTGAGCACCATGCATGTGTAGATTGAACGGCGGTCCCAACGTTTTTATTTTAAAGAAGTGTTTTGTGGGACATCACCAAGCAAAATATCTTTTTTATTTGAAAAGATAGAAATGTTAATATCTATTTGTGTGGTACACACATGATCATTTTTTCACACATTTTTTTCCCTCTACAGGTATATCCTCTTCGTATCTATCTTCTTAAAATGTTTATATCTTATAAGGTTACTGACCACAGGAACAAAATGTCAGGCATGTACTAAACCTTCCAGTATATAGGAACCACTCTACATGATATTAATCATCCAAATAACCTCTTGATAGGGAAACTGATTGAGAATCATGCGTAGATCTGTCCACAGTCCTGGCAACATGAGGAAAATGGGCACCCCACTTTCTGCATTGTATTATAAGGTTGAGCACCATGCATCTGTAGATTGGATGACAGTCCTAGTGTTATGAGGAAAATAGTCACCCTGCTATCTACATTCTACCCAATGGTTCCCTACTCGAACACCGACGTTCCTTTTGGGTCATGGACTTTGAGAGAATTAGACGAAAATGATTAGGTGCAATAGTCACAAATATTTGTCTATTGGAAGCATTGCCATTCCAGCCCTCTTATCCCTTTCAGTAGAGAATGTTTTATTAGGCTAATCTTTGTTTTGTTTCTAATGATAAACTGATGTTTCACCAGCTGAGCTAGCACTGTTTGTAGCCTTGGCCATACGGATAGCTTGGACTAGTGCTCAGCCAATTCTTAGTTCTTGTGCCACTTTTAGTGCAGTAGGTGCTCAGCAATTGATGGAAAGTTCTTTTACCATTTTGAATCAACCTATGGAAACATTTCAAGCAGAAGTTGTCACTACAGCAGAACAAGCTAGCAGTGACGGGCTCAAACCCTCTTCTGTGACGGATAGACCCCCTCGTCACAGATCAATGGTCACTGATGACTTAACTCACCTTTGACGGGTGTAGCTCCGTCAGAGGTGACAGACACCTTTGACGGGTTGTATCATGTGACCCGTCACAGATGAGAAAAATCACCCAAAAAAAAAGGAAAAAAGAGCCACAACCACAGCTCAACACCCGTCACTGATGTAGATTTTGATAAAAAAAAACAAAAAAAAAGTGCTTCTGGGTAGTTGCCATCGCATTCATCACACACAACATTTCATCACACAGAAAAGTCTTCACGAACATTTCATCACACATAAAACAGCCATGGCAAGCAAGCAATTCGTCAATCACCTGACGAGCAACAAAAACGAAGGGAATAAATGGTTGTGGGTTTTGCCGGGCAGGGCTTCTTCATACCACGGTGGGCTTGAACTCCTTGGCGCGCTAGACCTTCTTGAGCTCGGCCTGGAGGCGACCTTGCTCCTCCTCCTTGCGGATGACCTCGTCCCTATTACTGCTCCTCGACGCCGCCCTCTTCGCCTTCTGCACCCGGAAGCAGCCGACGGGGGAATCTGCAGTTCTGCACTCGTCAGTTGGGGACGCAGCCGGCGGACGGAGGAGACGACGCCCCGGTGGCCGGATCCGCGTCCCCTGACCTTGTGGAGGATGGATCTAGCGCCAGGCGGTCGGAGGTGGCACCCGTCAGTTGGGGGATGGAGGTGGCCCCCGGCGGTCGGGGATGGAGGCCGCGGCGCCGCCGTTCACCTCCTCCTCGCCTCCTCACCGCTGCGTCGAGCCGCCGCACCGCAGCACCGCCGCGCGCCGTTGAGAACTCCACGCCGCTGCCACTTCAAGAAAAACCGGATTGAGAAATAAGAGAAGGGAGAGGAGGGGAGAAAGAAGGGGGAGGAGGATGGGGGTACTGCCGCCGCCGCTCGCAGCCACGCGCCGCCGCACCACCTCGCCGCTTCACCTCCGCACCGCCGCCGCCGCTGCCACGCACCGCTGAGCCGTCGCCGCCACGCGCCGCCGCACCACCTCGCCGCTTCGCCTCCGCACCACCGCCGCCGCCACGTATTGCTGAGCCGCCGTCCAGCGCCGCCTCGCCCGAGGGCGTCGGGTCCTCCGCCGCCGTCGCAAGAGCGGCGTCGCCCAAGGCATTTTTTTTCGCGGTGGAGAAAATGTGTGGATAAGGGAGAGAGAGAGTGTGAGGGAGAGAGAAGATATACATATTAGTCTGACCTAGTCAAGTCCCCACCCACACCTGTGACGGGCCTAGTGACCGGACCGTTTGAGGTGAGTTAACCTCACCTTTGACGGTTTATAATCATGCAACCCGTCATAGGTAACTAGTCACCTGTGACGGGCCAGAAGTGGAAGCCGTCAGAGGTGACGGTTTTCATTACGGGACCGTCACAGGTGACTAGTTACCTGTGACGGGTTGCAGAAGGATGCCTCACTGATGACGACATCCTATAAGAACCGTCAAAGATGACCCTCATCACTGACGAGTGCTAAAGTCCGTCACAGATATGTCGTCAAAGGTGTGAGGATCTGGTGTAGTGTGTGGCCTTATGGTATTTGTCAAATACATCTAAGCAAACCAAAATATTATTTGATGGACATGGATACTATAATAATGGAGTTTCATGTTCAAGAAAGTACAAAATTCTGAAACACAAGCATAAATGGTGTTCACATTCCCATGCATTCTATTAAGCCACCTTATCTTCATAGGACAATGTAGGTACATGAAAATATAAAGCGAAACAAAAATAAATCACTGCAGCTAAATTAGTGTTAAATGTGTTGAACTAACTGGGTTAACGGTTACTGTCAGGGTTATGGATAACCATACCTCCTATCCTACGATTAACCAAGTATACTAGATTGGTGTATCTCATATTCTAGGTATGTTTCCGTAAGCGAGAAGGAAATATACAAGATATTATGAAAAATATCCTTACGGGCTAGAGACTATCAGAGTCCTACTCGGAAAGGCTTGGGACTATTCTGTGTCGTGCATGTTTCGTTGTCTCCGAGTTCTACTTGGAGACTAAGGCAACTCGCGGTATAAAGGGCACACCCTCGGAGGGGTTTAGGATCATCGAATCCTAGAGCCAATACATCCACCACAGTTTACGAAGCCGAAGGATTCAAGCCGAAGCCGTCGGGAGATCTCGTCGATCAATCTCGACAAGGATCTTGCCGGTATCATCGGATTCATCTATTCCCTTTGTACTCTGTGATTTTTCATATCAATCTCATATAAACTGGATTAGGGCTATTACCTCAAGAGGGGCCTGAAGAAGTATAATCCTTGTCTTTTGTTTGCTTTGATGTCGTATCGTGTAGATCCTCGTACCAACGTACCCCACCACTCTATTTATCCGGTCTACGGGTATCCCCCATCGACAGTTACAAATAGATAACCCCGTGTTATTATAATGAGTATGATCAGTTGACTAATTTTTCCATGGAAATGTATCATGGAAAACAATAAATGATGCCAACATAAATTTGAATCTATATAGACTATATAGTATATCCCCACTAACTCATTTCTCAGCATCCACAAAAATAATAAGTAGCATGAATATTAGTGTGATAGGTGATCAGCAAATGGCGCATGTTATTTTGCCATTCTCAATTCCACTTTGAAAACATTTCAAGCAGAAGATGTCACCACATGGTGTCTGCAGAATATTACTACAACAAAAATATCTTGTAGAAACATTTTTCTAATACTTCAGAAACATTTTTCAAATGTAGTGGTATTTTCAAAAATGCCTCATTAGTCCCTTCTAGTCAATTTGATATAAAAATGAAGACATTTATTTATTGCAGCATTTTTTATAGAAACTTTGTTTTCTCTAAGAGAGTAGAGACATTTTCTAGGGGCATTAGATTGTGCAAAAATATCTTGTAGAAACATTTTTCAAATACTACAGAAGCATTTTTCAAATGTCTTTACAATACTATGGTGGTATTTTCAAAAATGCCTCATTAGTGCCATCTAGTGAGTTTGTTATACAAATGAAGACATTTATGTATTGCAGCATTTTTTATAGAAACTGGCATTTATGTATTGCAGCATTTTTTATAGAAACTTTTTTTCTCAAAGAGAGTATAGATATTTTCTAGGGGCATTAGATTGTGTGACAAACATAGCAAACCACTGTGAAAAAATAAGTGAAAACTTTATGATTCCTTGCTACTTTAAATCCTAGAACTCGAAACCTCTTGAGAAGTTCATTCTTATCTTCAATGCACTAACCATCTCAACCTCATGTGGCTACATGTTTAATATATGCCTTGTGTTGCTTATATCTAGATGTTTTGCACATATTAATGTGTGTTGCTTATATCTAGATGTTTTTCACATATTAATGTCCTAAAAAGTGCCTCTACATATGTTAGAATCTCACAAGAAAATGACTTTACATTTGAGGCAAATGTTGGCCCAAAACCGGGAGACATTGACCCAACCGGGAGAAAGCCTTGCTACACCCTTGCTACACCCCAAAAGCTAGCTCAAGAGGTGAGGGGCTCCCCCCACTTTTAAGTTGGTTCAACTCCCCCTAGATAAGTAATGTGGGACTATTCCCAACAATCTCTCCCGTCACACGTTGGTGCCCCTTAGCCCTGACCGGCCTCACACACAGGCACATACGGGTTACATTGGTGCCCCTTAGCCCTGACCGGCCTCACACACGGGCACATACGGGCCTCACACCCGCGGTCCACTGACCGACCCCACACACGGGCACATACAGGCCTCACACCCGCGGTCCACTGGGCTTTGGGTTTACACCACCCTGATAGTGCACAAGCACTAGAGATTGTGGGTTTGGCTCTGATACCACTTGTTGGCCCAAAACCGGGAGACGTTGGCCCAACTGGGAGAAAGCCTTGCTACACCCCAAAAGCTAGCTCAAGAGATGAGGGGCTCCCCTCACTTTTAAGTTGGTTCAACTCCCCCTAGATAAGCAATGTGGGACTATTCCCAACAGCAAATTCTTAATTGCCTATACAAATATACAATGCCGCTGGAAGATGCAAATTTTAAAGTGTCTCTAGACTATATAGCTCTAAATGTTAAAGGCAAATTGTAAATTGTATCTTGAAAAGTGTCAATATATAAGGTTTTTGTTGTAGTGTATACATGTGCTCAACTCAACTTTTTTTTTTAAAAAAAAAGAGGTCAGCAAGGTGATGAAAATGTCAGCTCTCATATGTGGATTCCCTGAAACTAGTGACCATAAACTTTTTTGATTGCCTGGTATAGTGTGATGGACATATGTGTAGAGAGGTTGTTCATCGCGTCGAGCGAGTTTTTGCTAAAGTGGAGGATATATAACGGCCGGATATAAAGGGCAGTGATGGGTTGTTCCGATTGCAGCATGTAGAGGAACCCATTGATGTTCTTGTTAGCAAGCAAGCAGGATTGTTGTTGTCCCTGTCCTCTCTGGTGCTCCCATCGTCCCATGAGCTTTAGCTATATTCTGAACCACTGGCATCACCAAGAAGCCTCAGCAATTGACGGCTTTGATCTCCAACATGGACAATGTCTGATTAACCCTAATCACATGGATGGCAGTGACAAAGCTGCTCTCAGCGCTAGCAAAATCAGATGAATTTGCAATGTCCCTAGAGCAATGCATGGCCAGATCATCATATCGGCCACACATCAGTAAGTGATGGTGGTAGACTAGAGAGGTAGCAGCGTGCACCAAAGTGCGACATAAGTTCTGAAATAAATGGCGTGAACGGTTTCAGGGAGCTACACCCTTTGTACTAAAAAGAATCAACTTTTAGGAATGAATCTGGATTGGTTTTTTATTTGATGGAGGAAGTATTTGTTACTTCTCTTCTTACTTGTTTCTTAATGATCTCTCTATATATATACGTCTATTTGAGGTGGGAGATATCAGGGTGTGTATGATGTGGAAGATGGGGTCACTAGTGTGCTTTTATACTTTCAAAAGAATCTTGCATAAACATGCCTTTATTTATTTTGTTTCTGATGGGCTATGCGAAATTAATTAAGATGTTTTTTTGTTCATTACGTTTTTATTTTAAAGAAGTGTTTTGTGGGACTTCACCAAGCAAAATATCTTTTTTTATTTAAAAAGATAGAAATATCAATATATATTTGTGTGGTACACACATGATCATTTTTTCACACAACTTTTTCCTTCTACAGATATATCCTCTTCATATCTATTTGCTTAAAATGTTTATATCATTAAGGTTACTGACCACAGGGACAAAACGTCAGGCATGCACTAAACCTTCCAGTATATAGGAACCACTCTACATGATATTAATCATCCAAATAATCTCTTGATAGGGCAACTGATTGAGAATCATGTGTAGATCTGTCCTTAGTCCTGGCACCTGGCAACATGAGGAAAATGGGCACCTCACTTTCTGCATTGTATTATAAGGTTACTAATTGAGCACCATGCATGTGTAGATTGGATGGCGGTCCTAGTGTTATGAGGAAAATGGTCACCCCACTATCTACATTCTTCCAATGGTTCCCCACTCAAACACAGAGGTTCCTTTTTGGGTCATGGTCTTCGAGAATTGGACCAAAATGATCAGGTGCAATAGTCACAAATATTTGTCCACTAGAAGCATTGCCATTCCAGCCCTCTTATCCCATTCAGTAGAGAAAGTTTTATCAGACTTATCTTTGTTTTGTTTATAACGATAAACTGATTTTTCACCAGCTGAACTTGCACTGTTTACACCCTTGGCCATACGGATAGCTTGGACTAGTGCTGAGTCAATTCTTAGTTCTTGTGCCACTTTTAGTGTAGTAGGTGCTCAGCAATTGACACAAGCTCTTTTACCATTCTGAGTCCACCATTGGAAACATTTCAAGCAGAAGTTGTGGACACATGGTGTCTGTAGAATACATGTAAGCAAACCAAAATATTATTTGATGGACCTGGATAC